ATTGGTGTGACCATCCTGAGTTGCGGGAGCTCTCGGGGTGGTCTCAAACTTGGAGCACTTGGAGTGCGGCCATCAGCCTCACATCCAAGGGCGGCACGTGCACTAGGCTCTATAGGGAGCACTTGGCGGAGTGCGCGGTCAACCGCCAAAAGCCCAGGGTGGCAGGGTGGCGCAGGGGGGCCGCGCCGCGCGCCCCGGGAAGCGGGCCGGGTGGGAGCTAAGTTAAGAACGTAAGAAGCGCACCCGGCACTTGGAGCACTTGGAGTGCAGTTGGTAAGCGCACACCCAGGGCCGGGGAGCTAAGCAGCGGGCCGGATGGGTTCGAGAGAGCCCTAAAAAGGAAAAGAAAGAAAGAAAACAGACAACCGCCAAACGAGAAAACCCAAGGGAGGGAGGTACACGCACTTTCTTCTTGTCGTTCTTAACGGAGTCGCTTAGGCGGCGGTGGTGAGCCGGTGTGTGTGCCAGTCCGCGCCAGTCCGCGCCTTTTGTCGTGCCAGTGTTTGGAGCACTTGGGGTTTTGTGAGCGATTCTTGCTTGTGCGCGCCAGTCCTGTGCCTAAAAGAAAAGAAAGAAAGAAAACAGACAACCCAAGGGAGGGATGGGAGGACGGCACGCCGCCACCACACAGGGATTTTAAGGAGAGGAGTGTGATGCGCTAGCCGTCGCCCACCCTAGGGAGTCTGCCTCTTCCTATCTCTTTTCGCAGTCTCTCGCCGATTCTCGCTGCAACCTTCATCGAGATTTGCTCTCCAGGAGCGTTTTGCGACTGGAAATTCTTTTGCCTCTGGCTATTGTCTTGTTGTGACACGGGAGACACAGCTATTCTCGCGACGACAGCTTCCAAGCTCCAGTGCGAGCAAGGCCGGCAACAGCAAAATAACAGCACGCATGCTCCGCGTGGCGCTTGTCGCGCTTGCCTCCGCCGCCGTCGTGGCGAGCAGCATCGTCGCGGCGTCGCGGCGGAAGCGGCAGCGGCAGTGCGTCAGCTCAGCTCAGCAGCAGCCTCACGCTTCAGCTCTTCTCCCGCCGTGCGTGCCGTCTCTGGGAGGCCTCGGCGACATGGCAGGACGAGTCGTGCTAATCACGGGCGCGGCACAGGGGCTTGGACTTGCAACGGCCCGCCTCGCTGCAGCGTGTGGCGCCTCTGGCGTCTGCCTTGTCGACCGCGACGGCGACAAGGGCGCGGCGGCCGCGGCGGAGCTGTCGGAGAGCTGCGAGTGCCTGTTTGTGCGGTGCGACGTCAAATCGCCGGCCGAGATCTCGGCGGCGGTGGAGGCGGCCGACGCTAGATTCGGGCGCATCGACGCCCTGGTGAACGCTGCGGGCGACACGCGGCGAGCGGAGATCGACGAGACGACGGCGGCGCTCTGGGACGAGCTGCACGCCGTCAACCTGCGGGCGCCCTTCCTCTTCACGCAGGCCGTCGCGCGCATCATGCGGCGCCAAGGACGAGGCGGCGCGATCGTCAACGTCGCCTCGGTCCAGGCCAACGGCGGCCTGACCTCTTGCATGGCGTACGCGGCGTCCAAAGGCGGCCTCCTCACGCTGACGCGCAACAACGCGGCGGCCCTCGGCCGCGACGGGATTCGGGTCAACGCCCTGAACATGGGCTGGTGCTCGACCGCCAACGAGCACGCGCTGCAGCTCTCCCTCGGCCAGGGAGAGGATTGGCTCAAGCAGGCGGACAGGGCCTCCACGCTTGGGCGAATCTGCAGGCCGGAGGACGTCGCCAGCGCCATCCTCTTCCTGCTGTCGGGGGCGCACACCACGGGGTCGGTGCTGGAATTGCACCCCGAGCACATCCCCGGCATGCTCGGCGCGGGGATTGGCAAGGCCAAGTAGTGGTGGATTAGCTGCTCGCGCGCATGTTTTTATTATTATGTTTTGCCTCTTGCAACCTTACCTCGCCGACTTACTTTACTCCTCTTGCCTCAAACGAAAAGAAAACCGCGAGACTCCGCCGGGACGGCCTGGTTCCTCAGAGTAGCGCGAGCGCAGACAGGGACGGCGATCAGCAAAGTGGCACAGGCGGCACCCGACTCCAAGGAGACGCTGAAGACGCTGAGGATGGCGCATGTCGCTGCGCTGAAGGGCTCACGCTACAGGGTGCTGGATGAGGACGGGTACGATACACTGGCCCCCGCAGTCGGGGGGGTGTTGCCAGCACTGGTAGATGACCTCTCGGAGAAGAGCCGAAGGGACCTTGGCACCGGGGTCACGAGGAGGCGCGGGTGCTGGGTGCGGCGCGGTGCGTGCAATCGTGTGTTTGGCGTCATGTTGTGTGTGCCACGGAGAATTGGAGTGCAGTCATTAGCCTCACACATGCCTTCGCTTGTTTCTATTAACATCGAAGTCTAGCTCAAGAAAGAAAACGGACAACCCAAGGGAGGGATGGGAGGACGGCACGCCGCCACCACACAGCTCACAGGGATTTTAAGGAGAGGTGTGTGATGCGCCTGGGAGTCTAGCTCAAAAAAAGGGTCTAAACAGAGAAATTAAAAGTTTTCAAAAGGGGCGCAAGTTACGCGGCGAGGGAAAAGGGAGACAAAGAGGGGCACCAAAAGAAAGGAACCTACGGCTCGGAGAATTCTTGTTGCAGCTCTCCTGCACGCCTGGCCGCCGCTCGAGCGAAGAGCGCCGAGGTGTGCTCTCCACCCGCTCACATCCTTAATCCCCTCTAATGGGGCCCCGGTCCCCTCGCCCGTGCTCGCCTCCCCCGCGCGCGCTTCCCTCCCGTCCCGACGCGCCCCGAGCGCCGGGGCGTGCCTGTGGAAGCGCCGTGCCGCCGCTCCCCGTGCCGCCGCCTCCCGTCCGAGCCATCTCGCCGCCCAGCAAATCCATCATCCCCTCAGCACCTCCTGCCGCGTGTGTTACCTCCGCACGCTTCACTCACGCAACCGCTCCACCTGCATCAAACGGATTGCCGAACATCGCGCCCCGTGCAGGTGAGGACTCGAGTAGGGTCCTGTCGCAGGCCTCTGCGCGCATGATCCAGGCGAGCAACAAGAAGGCCCTGGAGCTCTGCCACTTCGACCAGTCCAAGCACGTCTTCCTCGAGGGCTCGGAGGCCGGCCTCTCGTTTGGCGAGTCTGCAGCCTTTGCCGCAGAGATCCACTTCTACTGCGAGCCAAACTCGGAGCCAATCGAGCCGCCGGGCCACCAGCAGGGGCCTGCGCAGTGGCACGGCCACCAGGTGCTCCTCTCCAAGTTCAACGGCTGCGTGAGCGGAGAGTACCGGATAGGGCTCGACGCGCAGCGGCACGTCATCTTTCAGCGCGAGGTGGCGCCGTGGATCGTCACGACGACGGACGTGATCCCGCTGCGCGAGTGGCACTCGATCGTGTGCACGTACGACGGCCAGTTCATGCGCATCTATATCGACTGCCGCCACGCGGCGCACATCGCGTGCGGCCCGCAAAAGACCGACCTGACGTCGCCGGCGCTGCTCGGCGCAGACCTGTGCGGCTACGCGACGGCGCACCACTTTGAGGGCTACATCTCGGAGTGCTCGCTCTGGCAGCGCTCGCTCGACGCGTCGGAGGTCAAGGCGCTCGCCACGTCCAACCCCCTCTCCCACAAGACCCTCTCCAAGGACCTGATTGGCTACTGGTGCGCCCGCCCGCCCCCCGCCCGCCCCCCGCCCGCCTCCCGTCCATCCGCCGTGGCGAGACGCGCCGAGAGCATCGCGGAGCGGCGGCGGCGGTCGCCGCGCGACCCACGATGCGCTGCGCAGCCGCGCCGCGCGCAACCTTCTGCCGCACGTCCCTCACACCTCGCCCCGCACGCCTCCGCCGCCGCCTCCCCCTGCGCGTCTGCCCAGGTGCGTGTACCAGCGCGAGGGCCTGCGCGCGCCAGTCAAGAATGCGGTGCGGCTGGTCGGCGAGGAGCAGTTCCACGGGCAGTACCTGGTCGAGGGGGCGCCGCTGCTGGACCGGTGGCGCAGCTGGCTTGCCGCCGGGGGCGAGGCGCTCCCTCCGATCCAGCCGCCTCTGGCGGACCCGGCGGAGATGTGCGCAGTCAGCGGCGCGGGGCCGCCCTTCTCGCCAGAGGCGGGGCTGCACACCTTCATCTGCGGGTCGGCGTCGGTGCTCTCGTTTGGCAACTGCGCGCCCTTCACGCTCGCTGTCCTCTGCCGCCCCAGCGCGCAGCAAGGCATCTCCGCCGAGGCTGGCGGCGCCGGTGCCAACGGCGGCGAGTGCGGGTGCGGCATCGTGCTAAGCAAGTTTCACTACGGGCTGCGGGGCGAGTACCGGCTGGGCTTCGACGCGCGGCGGCGTCCGTTCTTCCACCGCGAGATCGAGCCGTGGGACATGGTCTCGACGAGCGCCGTCACCGCCGACGAGTGGCATGAGCTCTGCGCGACGTACGACGGGGCAGTGATGCGGCTGTACGTGGACCGGCGGCTAGTGGCGCAGGCGCGGTCGGGCGCGCAGTTCACGGACCAGGTGACGCCCGTGCTGATTGGAGCCGAGTACGGGAAGAATTGCGTGCAGAACCACTTCCGCGGCTACATCGGCGAGGTGCGCGTGCTCGACCGCGCCCTCTCCTCCGACGAGTTGCCGAGCCTCTTTGCGCCGCCCTCAAAGTCGGCCGGCTTGCAGCGCGGCTTGCTTGGGCGGTGGAGGCCGATGGAGGCGAAGCTTGACGACGCGGACGGACGGTCGGTCATCTTCAACTCGGTCGCGCCTCGCTCCGCCACGCAGCCCTTCATGGCGCGCGGCCCGCGCCCCACCATGCCGCGCCGTCGCACCGCCCACGTCCACGTCCATTCCGCACCGCGCTCTCTCTTCTCCCGCACCGTCTCTCTTCTCCCGCACTCGACCTCGTCCTGTCGCCCCCACACCCGTCTCCTCTCTCATCTCCCGCCCCCGTCTCGACTCGTCCCGGCGGCCCCGCGCCTCGCAGGACGCGATGCTGAAGCGCACGCGGCTGTCCTTCCCACTCGAGATCACCCTGCGGGCGGGCGTGCGCGCGCTGCTCGTCGAGCTCGGCACAGTCACGCCGCACACGGTCCAGTGGCGGCGGGCGGTCGACATGGTCAATGAGTCGGGGGGGTACAAGCACTACTGCTACCTGGGCACCTCCGTCGCGCTCCAAAAGTCGCTGCTGCAGGCGCGCACGAGCCAGCAGCCTCCCCCGCGAGTGTGTCCAGTGACACGTCCAGTGACACGTCCAGTGACACGTCCAGTGACACGTCCCGCAGGCGCTCGACCTGCACGCGCACGAGCTCGTCGTCAAGGGCTGCGCGCGGGTGCACGACCGCGCGGACTCGGCTCGCGGACCTCTGCACGGCGACGGGCTGGACGAGCCCCGGACGAGACGGATGTGGGCCGCGGTGCCCTGTAGGCGCTGCGCAAGCTTCACGAGGAGATCGCGCAGAAGCGGCGCGACGTGCGGGGGCGCGGGTCGGAGCTATTCCGCGAGTGGTTCTTCCACAACCCGATCTCTTTCTTGCGAGAGTGCGACGGCGACCGATGCGAGTTTTGGCGCTTCCGATACCCGGGCCGGCGCGTGCAGGCGAGCGGACGAGGGTGGCACGGGGCGGAGAGAGACGCCCCTGCGCTTGTTGCCACTCCTCACGCTTCTGCTCTCGCCGCCCGGCCGCAGGCGATGAACGTGCTGGTGGAGCAGGCGCGGACGCGTTTCCCGCCTTCCAAGGAGTCGCCGCTCATCATTTCGTCGTTCGGGTCCGGGCTGCTGTACCAAGAGTTTTGCCACCTCTGCAAGCTCGTGCAGGTGGGGTACACCCACTTCCGGCTGCTGCTCGTCGACACGGCCTACGCGCCGTGGAAGCAAAAGTACCTCGCCCGCGACGGCTGCTGCCGCATCTACTGCCAGCCCGCCTCGGCACGCCCCCCTCCCCTCCCCCCCTCCCTTCCCTTCCTTCCTCCTGAGGCCTGCTCCTTGGCCCCTCGCCGCTCGCCGCTCGCCGCTCACGCGCGGTGCGGTGCGAGCAGGAGCTGAGCGAGGAGATGATGCGACCCGCGCCCGCCTACTCTGCGCCTGGCAGCACGGCGAGACGGCCTCGACGCCGCGCTGAGGAGCCTTGCCCGAACCTTCCCGGAACCTTCCTGTAGGCACCACCAAGGAGACGCTCGACTCCGCGGCGGCCTCGTCAGTCAACAATGTGAGCCTCCGTCGGCTGCACAACGGCGCGGTGTGTGAGCCGCGGCCGCTCACACCGCGGGCTGTGAACAGGCAATCTCTTTCGTCATGTACAACGATGCGCTCCACCAGTTCGTGCAGTGGCGAGACGCAGTCGAGATGTCGCCGAGATGTCGCCGAGAGAGCTTTGCGCCCGCCAGCCCACGCCTCCCACCCCCCGTGGGACGGCGCCCCTTGTCCACCCGACAAGACCCCCCCCCCCCCCCTCCCCCCTCCCCCCGCCGCATTCCCTCAGCCCGCCCCTGCGTCTGCTCCGCCGCAGGTTCAGCACACACCTGGACGTCGAGATCCAGACCCTGCTCTATGACTCGGTGGACGCGTACATCGCCGACTGCGCGCTGTCGCCGAAGGAGGTGATGGCGCACATCTGCTCCGCCATCGACTACAAGGACAACGACAAGCTCCTCGAGGAGCACGTCAACCACATGGCGGCCAACACGCTGCGCGACGACGGCGTCTGTGTCAAGCTGGTGACCCGCACTGGAGAGTCGTCTCCCGGTGTGTATGTGGAGGACCGCGGCCGGCGACTCCTGCACACGGTCCTGCTCGGCGCCGAGCACGAGTCTCACTTTGAACAGCGTTGCCACGAGTGCGAGGTGTGAGGCGGGAAGCCTCTGCCACGTATCAGGACAGTGTGAGCGCGCCAGGGGCGTGTGAGCTGCGTGGGGGCGCGCCGGCGGCCCACGCTCGACCGTACTTCGAGATACCGCCAGACGCGCGCGCACGAGATTATAGCATCTAGGAGCAGATTGTGTCGTACAAAAAAGTTAGAAGCACTCTGACAGGCGCCGCGTGCGACACGCACCCCGACCGCCGGACCCAGAGCATATACAACTAGGTCCCGCCGGAAGCATAGGCCGCCAGCGCCGCCCCTACATGCGCCTGCATCAGCTCTGCGCGCAGCGCCACGAGTTGCAGCTCGTCACGCGAACTGCCCACGGCGGCACTGCGCGGCCTGTCCTCGCTGCGCTTGGCAATCTCTCCGCGAAGCTTTGTGTGCGCAGCCTGCGGATCGGCGCGGCAGGCGCTGTCAGCAATCAGCGTGGAGGCGAGCGCGGGCGGGCGTGGTGCACCTGAAGCGAGGAAACAAACGCGTCCGTGGTGCTGTTGAGCGTGGAAGTGTCGACGTCGCCGACTTGGCTCTCGATCTGGCTTTGCGCCGCCGCCGCTGCACGCACAGCCGCGACGATGTGAGCAGACGCCTCCTGTGCAGCCATTAGCTCCGCAGTGAGCAATCGCAGCCCAGAGCGGGGAAATTCAGCCCTTCGCGGCGCGCTGAAAAACAAGAAACCAATTTCTGAGTGAGGAATGTGTACCTTTGTGTGTGTGTGTGTGTGTAGGCGAGCTTCAGGCACGCTCATCTCGATCGTCATGACGTCGCTACGCGCGGTCTTCCGCGGGGGGAGCTGCGTCGACGGGTGCGGGACCGCGGCGCAGCCAGTGCCGCGGCGAGGCCTCCGGCTGTTTGCGGCGGGCGGCTTGCTGCTCGCTGCATGGCGAAAAACTCGTCTCGCCACACGCCAAGGGCTTATGCTCTGGCGAGACGTGAGGCGCATGCGCCCAGGAGGGGAGGGGGCATGCGTAACGACACTGCTAGAGATGCCTTTCGGGGCCCAGAGATAAAACTTCTGTGATGCCATGCGTGACCTAGTAGTGTCCCCAGCTATGGGCGTGTCCACGTTGGAGCCAGGTGTGGTGTGGGCGCGAGAATAGCTCCGCCGTTCATGGAGGCAACCGATGCGAGTCGACTGGTGTGTGTCGTCGTGGTTTCGTATCAAGAATACTCACTCACTGTGTACCTTTCTACCTACCTACCTATCTGGTGTCTACTAGCCCCGAGTAGAGGGGGCGTTCCGCTGCTAGGGGAAACCCGGAGCGCAGAGCTAGCCCTCGGGGACCCGTGTTTACTTTACAGCCCTTTCCCTGCGAACGCGCACCCCCCTAGGGGTCAGGGCTCTCTAGCCCGTAGCCCGATCCCGATCATCCGGCCCGCTGGGTGCGCTTCTTAGCTCCCCGGCCCTGGATGTGAGGTTACCGACTGCACTCCAAGTGCTCCAAGTGCTCCGCTCCGGCGATGGCAGCGGCTCCTGATGTACCTCCGCTTTTGGGTGGCGGTGCGCGCGCTGCCGACGGCGCTCGCCGGCGCTTGCGGCGCTACGGCGCTCGCGGCGCGCTCGTGGCGTTCAGGGCGGCTCCACACGCACACGCACACACGCTCACACACACACACACACACACACACACACACACACACACACACACACACACACACACACACACACACACACACACACACACACATGCATGCATGCATGCATGCACAGACACACAGCCCCTTCCCCTTCCCCCTCAAGACCTTCCCAAGGGCGAGCGGCGAGGACACGCGCAGGCCGCACCTCTAGTGAGGCCCGCATAGTAATCAACCCTTTTCCTGGCTCACAAGCTGAAGATGTTCACGGGCCCCCACACGGAGGGGGAGCCCCGGGTACTCTTTAGCTGTACTCGTCTAGGCAGGGGTTGCATAGTAATGTGGGAGACTCATGCCGCCGCCCCTGCCACCCTGTGTGTGTCAGTGTGCCTGTGGTAGTGAGAGACTGCCAGCGAGAAGCTGGAGGCAGGTCGCTAGACTGAGATGAGACCGCCAGTGGAGTTGGGATTCCACCGTGCACCGCGCTGCGAGCCTGTCGTGTCCCTTGTCAGGAGCAGAGGAGAGCCCACCTCGCACCTGTCCCCCTGATCGTCCTTCCAAAATCCTGCTCGTGCAGGTGTGGACCCTGTCCTCCTCCCCTATCCCTCGTTTGGGTTGTCTGTTTTCTTTCTTTCTTGGCAGCGCCTCTCTGGGGTGTTGCATAGGCGGGGAGTCTCCCCCGCTGGTCTCCTCCTTCCCATTTTTCTTCTCTTTTGTTTTCTTTTGAGGGCAGAAGCCGGGTTTGTCTTGTATGTGCGTGCGGGGCGGCGCGGGGCAGGGGCGCGCAGGGGCCAGGGCTGAGGGCCAACGGTCATCGGCTCGTCGAGGATGGAGAAGGGGAAGGGGGGATGGGAGGTCGGCGAAGGGGTAATAGATATCAGGGTGCGTACGGGGTCGTAGCCGCCACTAGACTTTCCTGCCTCGCAAGGGCGGGGCTGTCGCCGGAAAGTGAGAAACGCCGGGCAGGCGCATCTACCTAACCTCCCATACGTGTTTGAGGCTTCTCTCCTTCGGGCTGCTCCATCTCCTCTCGTCTCTTTCCCACACTAGGCGGGGCGGTGGGTGTGTGCGCCTGGCCGCGCGCGGTGCGGTGTGGTGTGTGTGTGTGTCTGGTGTGTGTGTGTGTGTGTGTGTGTGTGTGTGTGTGTGTGTGTGTGTGTGTGTGTGTGTGTGTGTGTGTGTGTGTGTGACCGCGACAAGGGACCCCTCCACTTTTTCTTATTAACAACGAAGGCGCTCTCAAAAAACCAAAAAGCTTCTTCTGCACAGAGAAGTGCCATCGCATAGTCGTTTAGGGCGGCATCGCTCACCGCACGTCACCGCTGCTCTCCGTCAATCCAAAAGTTCATGCAAGTTGCAACGCGCGGTTGCGATGCCAGCAAGAGATAGGCTGTCCACCTGAATATCGTCCTCGTCAAGTGGCTCGTCGGCAACTTGAGCACCGCCGGGACTTCAGAGCGGCTCCGCGCAGCACCAGCAGCCCCCGTGCGCGTGCCCGGGTAGCGCAGCAAAAAAGCGAAAACTGCGAAGCCCGAGAAAAGCCCGCCAAGCCGCGTTATGCTGCGTTCAGGCTTCAGGGTACAGGACCTAGTCACTTCAGAACTGACTGTTGTTGCTGTTTGTACCCGTGCGTGTGTGCCTGCGTTTACACGTTTTAAAAATGTCAACGGTCTCAACCAGTACGGGTAGAGAGACTAACTCTCCCAGGCCGGACACGGGGTCGTCTTGATACTAAGGCAGACTTAGACACATGGAGGAGGCCGATGGTGAGACTCGGCGGCTGTGGGAGAAGCGCGAGGGTCAGGCCGAGGTGCCCGACGTGGACGTACTGTCGCCATACGAGGAGTCGCAGGCGTCACCGCGCTCCTCCCCCTCGTCCTCGCCGAGAATTACGCAATGGCGCTGGACACCACGCAGCAGTCCGTGCACGGACACGGCGGGCCGCTCTGCGCTGTCAAGCTCTCTGCTCTCATGGCTAATCATAACGTGATCGTCACACACGGCACGCGTCCACAACGCCGCATTCAAGTATACGCAGGATGTTTGTATGTTGCTCAGTCAGGACGCCTCGACGCCGGCTAGCTGAGGTCCGGCGACTTGTCCCGCTCGAATCGGTGACGAGACTGTGATGATCATCTCATAGAATATGGTGGCGGATGTCGACGGGGTGGTGGTCGGGCGTGCTCGATGGATAGCGGATGTCGGCGGGGTCGGGCGTTCGCGGTGGATAGCGGTTCGGCGCAGCTCTGCGTAACGCTGCACCGCAGTTCGCCATTGGCCAGGACTTATCACGTCACGCAAGCAATCGGGAGGTGCGTTTTGGAGCGTGCGAGGCGTGCGCGGAGGCTTCTTCTTGGAGCCGGAGGACGTCATCGTATCAAAAAGGCGAGCGCATCCACTGACAGCCAGACCGACCTGAAGCAGAGTACGACAGCCCAGTTTTCTTTTATGTTGTTCTCTGCGCCGACGTTTGCGCCAGCAGAGCCCATTTGCGTTAATTCCTCTCGGGGGGGTGCAGAACAGCAAAAGCAGCGTTTCTCGACCCGCACGCACTTGAGATCATGAATGAATGACAGGAAGACACGCTCACTCACACCTTAGTCCTTACTTATCCACTCACAACAACAAACACAACAACAACTCTCCCAAATGACGTGTGAGTGTTAGAGTTGTTTGATATTGCTAAAAATCTCTCTCTCACACAACACTCAGTCAGAACACAAGAAAGAACACTGCAGACTTGGAAAATGACAAGTGCGAACTCTCTCTCAAGTGCGCGCGCCGCAGGCGAAGAGAAAATTTGAGCGGGCTCCTGTCACACGCGTGTGTGGGCCCTTTGGCCCTTTCTCGGGGTCGCGCCTGCGGCGCGCCCTCTTTTTTTTTCGCGGAAATCACTCACCGGGTCTACCGCGCCGACCTGTGGACGCGCGAAAAAGAAAGAAAAGAGAGAACCCAAGGGAGGGATGGGAGGACGGCACGCCGCCACCACACAGGGATTTTAAGGAGAGGAGTGCGACCTCAGTGCAAAGGTCCGAAAGGGTTTCTTCCCCCACACGTTGGCGAGGGAGTTCTGTGAGAAAATTTGTAAAATTCTTCCCACAAGTTGAACGGCAGAACCTCGGCGGGCGCATCGCGGGGATCGCTCACGTTATGGCCGCCAGTTCTTGCACTCCCTTCTCGGAGGTGCAGGGCTGGCCCGCGCCTGCGGTGGACGCGCGCACGGTGTGCACGCCGCTGGAGTCGCGTGTGGCCTTTTTCGGGGCCGCAGATGGCAAGCCGCACCTCTACGTGCTCACCGTCGCGCTGCTCTCGGCTCACCGCTTCCACCCGGCGGCGGGCTACTATGCGCTCATGCCCCAGGGCGAAGCCGAGGCATGCCGTCGTGCGGAACATCCCTTCAGCATGTGGTCCAGGGGCGTCGTCCGCGCGCTGCCGTTGGACGCGGCATCGGCAACGCAGTTTGGCAGTGGCGGAGGCTATTCACGGTACACCTTCCACAGGCATGCGGTTCCCGAGATGCTTGCGGCTCGAGGCTACGACTTCAGCATTAACCTGGACCCAGACGTCATCACGCTCCGCCCGTGGGACCTCCGCGTGCTGCTCGAGGTCAGGCTCATTGCCGGCCGACAGGTCGGCCGCGGTAGCCGGACCGTCAGGTGGCTGCAAGAGCGGCTGGAGGCGAACGCACAGGCGGGTATCAGCGGAGGGGAGAGGGCGGCGGCGGGCGTTGAGGGCTTCCTCTCGCGCACACTCAACACCACCAGGTGGGCACTGGAGCGGACTCCCGAGATCAATGGCGGCGTGCTCGTCTTCAACAATGCGGCTGCCGTGAAGGCGCAGTGGCTGCTCACGTGCGTCAGGAGATACGCCGCGCTGCACGCCGTCGTGGAGGGCGACCAAGACCTGATCAGCCTCGTTCTCGCCGCGAATCGGTCTCTGCCACGCGCTTCCCTCCCCACGGTGTACAACTACGCCTTTCGTCGCGACAGGGAGCGCCTGCCATACCGAGAAGCCAAAAGGCTCCGGCACGGAGTCTTCGAAGGCGTTGCGGTCAGCATCCACTTTGTCGCGGACGGCAAGCCCTGGCAGCGGCAGAATCTGACGACGTACCCAAGTTGGCTGGCAGCGGCACGCCTTTGGTACGTCAACCAATGGCACGAGCTGTCGCGATCCGTGCGGCCTGGCCTGCTCCAATCGCTCTCGCACCAGGAGCTAAGTGCCTTTGGCGATCTCGAGCCGCTTCGCGTGGCTCAGAACCCGAATCTGACTCTCCTCGGCGTCGCCGACTCAACCGCTCGCCTCAGCTGTCGCTGCTTTGTGAGGGGGCTGCTTTCCGGCGGTCAGAAGCCCGATCCGGCAGAGCTGCTTGCCGGGGCAAGGGGCGTCGGAAAGAGGCAAGGTCGACCAGAGTTTGACGCTCTGGTGGAGTCGGTGGAGGACAGGGCTGAGGCCCTCCGCGCGCTCACCCAACGGCAGCGTGGCGTGCTCCTCCAAGAGTGCGGAGGAAGCTCCTCGACACACGAGGAACAAAGCTGCAAGGCCATTGCGGATGCGGAATCGCGAAGAAGGGCTGCCAGCACAAGCACACGGGCGACAGTCAACAGCACCATCGCCGACCTCTATCCCGCCTTCCTCCGCTTCCTCGACGAGCACAAGGCGGTGCCAGTCAAGAGCGTGTACGCGGACGTGCACCAGTGCGACCTCGCCCACTGGTACGCCCGGATCAAGCAGGCGAGCACGCCGCCGAGGATGGAGCTCACGCGGAAGATTGGGACCGCGAATGTGGAGGCGCTCATCGCCCGCGTGGCCGCGCTTCCAAAGTTGAGGAAGCCTCGGGGCGCCGTGAGGCTCTCGGATAGCCCGTGTAAGCGGCTGGTCTCCTCTCCGCCGGCGGCCTCGCGGTCGCCCGGCGTCCAGCAGATCCTGATGCACACCCAGAACCACCGCACCAGGAGGCGAAGGAGGCACTTTGATGCAGCGGCAGCGGAACCTACTCCGGCGCCGACGTGAGGACCAGGAGGTCTCGCGTGTGGTCTCGCTTGGTAGCGGTCAGCACGTACAGCGAGCCAGCGGCGGCACCGATGTCGCGGTCGGGGGGCTCTCGGACTCGCTCGGTGGACGCTCGCCGCGCTCGGTGAGGTCGGTGGACGACACGGTGCGCCTGCGCTTTTTGTGGCTGTTGCGTGTTGGTGTTGCCGTTGGCTCGGCGTTGGTAAATCTCGGGACAGAAAATACTATAGACGTATGCTTCCAGATGCACCGCTCAGCCGGACAGCGCTAGTATCCCGCACCGCCCGGTCTCCCGCGCACTGCGCACAGGCTAGTGCCATTTCACTGTGGCACAGCTCGCGTTACAAAACCTTGATTTGACCATTTGCGCCATTTTGTCCCTCTCGGTGCCTTCCAGAGGCAGCTGCGACCCCGCCAAGTGGACGGGGGCACTCGGCAGGTGGCGCGGAGTGCCCCCGTCCACTCGGCGGGGTCGCAGCTGCTTCTGTGCGTCCTGGGGAGGGACAAAATTGTCGCCGCCGGAGACGACTCGACGCCGCTGAGATTGGAGATCAAGCTCTGACAGGTCGCACGTCGCTCCTTTGACGCCGACGTGACTCACCCGTGCAGATCACATCAGGACACGGTCTCGACGCGCTCGGTACGACGCCTGCGACCCGTCTCGGGTCAGGTGGCACGACGCTCATCGCGCCTACCAGCGCTGCCGTACAGGTTGCCACGACGAGGTCGAGCACGCTTCTATACGCTCGCCGAGCCTTCCTTTCCATCCAATTAGGCAGCCTGGGAACGGTGGCGGTCAGAGGCAAAGCCTACGAGGGGTGGTGGAACCACATGTCACGGCTACTGCCGGCTCGACCCCACGATAGCCTCCGAAGGCTGACTTTGCGGCACCATCATCGGACGATGTCGACGAGTTGGGTCGCTCTCGCGGTAGCCAGATGACCTCTCTTTCTAGGAGCATCGGCCATGGCCGCAGGGAGCGCGGGGGAGGGCGCTGGAAGCAACACGGGAGCGAGTGACGGATAAAGTCGTGTGAAAGAGCTGTGAAAGCGAAAGTATCGAAATTAATTGCCCGCCGCAGGCGAAGAAAATTTTCAGGGTTTTTGGTCCCCTACGCCAAAGAAATCGAAGATTTCGGCGGGCGCCCGACGCGGTATGGAGCACGCGCGCTGCCCGGCATGCCTGCAGCATCCAAACGAGACGCACGGCGTCGCTCAGCCGTGTCCACGCGGCTTCGCTCCTGTCCTAACCGCCGCCATCTGGGCGGCTGCTGCGGAGCTGCTGCCGGCGGTGCGGCAACTGGCCGACAGATACAACGCTCAGGGCACCCGCCGGCGATTCACTGGAAAGGAACGAAGGCGCCGCTGTCGGCGATTCACCGCCGTTCGTTCCCGTCTCTCAAGCTGGCTACACCGTCCATGGACGAGGGAGACGTCGCCTCCTCTTTCGTCCCGGGCACTGTTCGCGCCGGAAGGCACCGTACACTGCGAAGTACATTAACCTTCATCCCTCCTACCGCCGGCCGGGAGTGCAGCCTTCGCCATCGCTGAGTGAGATTATCCTCGACTTTGGCACCTGCGAAGTAATGAACAACATGCAGTACGTCATATGCAATGGCGCTATGACAGCCCTGCGATGGGCGTCCTCGACGCAGACGAGGCGGAGCTCATCTGCACGGCGCAGATCGCCGACTTTCTCTCTCTCCCTGCGCGAGTGATTGCGCCACCGTGGATGAGGCATATGGGCTGGGCAGGGGAGTTGGTAGAGGAGGTTGACTGAGGGCGCGAGGCCGCCAATCGTCACAGTCTGCTGCTGACTGTCGGTCGCTGTCTGGTTGCGCATCGCGCTGGCCGCGCAGCGGCCTTTAGAAAATTTTGGCCGCAGGCCTAGTTTTGGAGAAGATCAAATAATAAGCGCCGGTGAGGCTTTCAGAAGCTGCCGTTTGCGGCTTCCTAAGTCAATTTTTCGAGAGGAACGTTTTGGCTTAGCTATAACGGCTCCAAAGTCGCGCGATCATCGAGTTTTGAGTCAATAATTATGAAAGGAAGGGGCTGGCGAGAATTATAGCTAAGCCAATCGATTCAGCGTGCTCTGAAACGCCCAAAACCGTCGAGTTTTTCGCGGTAGGCAAAATAGAGCCCTTAATATTTGATCTTTCTTGGCCACGGCCACGATTACCCGTCACTCGCTCACGGAGCTCCGTTGGAGACGTTTTCAAAGATATTAGCGTGTCAGAGTGAAATGGCACTAGCCACATGAAAATGTATCGGAGTACGGCATGTCCGCCACGCCGCGCCAGCCCTGGCTCGCAAACGCTCTCCTATACTGCCTGACAAGCCCCGGCGCCTCTCGCATTTCGCCGGAGTCCTCCTTGCGCGATCCGCTAAACATGGTGGTGGTGTGTGTGGGGGGGGGGGGGGCACCGCCTATGTCAGGAGACACGCCTTCATCCCCGCTCGCCTTCTACCGTCGCAAGGCCTCCGGCGCCTCACGGCACCCGCTGCGCGTTGAGGTCGTGCCGCTGGCCCCACCGCTGCAGGAAGGGCGTGAGAACGAGGCCGGCCGGCACATACCACGCCCTCCGCTCCGGGTCCCACCGCCCACCCATCGCCTTGCAGTCGTCCTTCTGCGCGAAGGGCGTCGTCAGGAACGTGCGGAAGGGGGCGGACGCAGGAGCGTACTGCTGCGGCGGAGGGGCGTACTGCGGCGGAGGGGCGTACTGCTGCTGCGGAGGCGGCTGGTGCTGCTGGGGAGGAGGGTACATCCGAGGCAAGTGCTGCTGCGGTGGCGGCGGCTGGTGCTGCTGTGGCAGAGACGGCTGGTACGGCCACGCGTGTACTGCCGGGGACGCTTCGCGCTGCGAGGGAGGTGGCTGCGCCGGCGGCGGCTGCTGCGCCGCTGTCCGCGCCTGCGCGGCGGCTTGCATCCTGGCGAGTTCGGCCTGCGCCTGCTGCTGCGCCTGCTGCTGCGCCTGCTGCTGCGCCTGCTGCTGCGCCTGCTGCTGCGCCTGCTGCTGCGCCTGCTGCTGCGCCTGCTGCTGCGCCTGCTGCTGCTGCCATGCCGCCTGCGCGTCCGCCAGCCGTTTCGCCGCCGCCGCCTTCGCCTCGTCCTCGAGCGCCGCCACCGTACCGGGCGGCAGCCACCTACCGGGCGGTAGCCACCTGACGCTAAGCGAGGTGAGGTGGACGCCGGCATCCACCGCTACTCGACTAGCGGCAGCCACCTCTCAAACGCGGCGAACGAGCTCGCATGCTCGACGACGTACCACTTCTTCTCGTCGCCGTCCCACCGCGCGCCCGCCGCCTTGGCATCGTCCTTCTCGTCGAACGGCACGTCGAGCAGCGTGCCGCCGCCCTTGCGCCGCAGCCGCTCGAGCGAGCAAGGCGCGCTCAGCTGCGGGATCGCCCCCTTTGGGAGCCACTGTGCGGGAGGAGGACGGGTGCATGAGAAGGAATGAGTAGGCTCGTTGCACTCTGACAAGTGCTAGCCGCCGACCTGCCGGAAAGAGGAGAGGTTCGCGCTCGCGGGCGCGTAGAGCATGCCATTGAGCGAGTCCCAGCGCGCGCCGCAGCTCTGCGCGGCCGCCTTGTGCTTGTGGGCGTCGGCGAGCCAGGTGCCGCCGCCGTGGCGCATCAGCGCCTATGAAGCTTCATAGACAGTTCGCGGAAGGTTCCTGGGAGGAACAGCCGCCGTGGCGCGCGTCGGCGCCGAATAGTCCTTTGGCGGCTTCGCCTTCTTGGCGCGCTTGGGCTTGGGCTTTGGTCGCGGCGGCGCTGGCGTGGAGGCGGGGAGCTGGTAGGAGGGCGCGGCTGCGGTGGCAGTCACGGTCGCGGCGACAACCCTGGGAGCGGGAGGTGGCGCGAGGGGCTGCCGCTGGAGCGGCGCCCCGCCCGAGCAACGCTGGTAGGCGATGAGGAACTCCGGGTAGACGTATTCGCCGTGGAAGGTGACGAACTCGCGGTAGCGGAGGAGCGCGCCGCCGAGCTCGGCGAGGAGGGAGTGGTGGAAGACGGGCGGAGAGACGCCTGATGGACGATGAAGGAGGACGAATGAGAATTAGAGGAGGGGGGGGTGGGAGACGGGCGGAGAGACGCCGTCGACGACGCTCAGCTCGCGCGTGTTGCCGTTCGGGAAGATGGGCTTGCGCGTGTCCATCGACACGGCTCGCTCGCCCGACTGCTGCGTGCGCACCTGTGGGGGGATGCCATCTCGGGTCCTCTAGTCATCTCGAATCCTCTCGCTCGCCTGCCGCGTGCGCACCGAGTGGCCAAGCGCGACGCGGCATGCGAGGGCGTAGTAGACGTTACCTAGAGAAGCCCGAGAAGGTTCCTAGAAGGCTCCTGGAGGCAGGCGAGGGCGTGGCAGGGGTCTGCCCGGGTGGCGCTGCGACGAGTCGTACAGGCGCTGGTGCAGCTCGGACGACACAGAGAGCCGCTCGTCCAACTCGACGTACTGGTCGCTCTTGCCGAGGTCCTCGGCGAGGTAGACGCCGTTGCCAAAGGCGGTGCCCGCGTTTGTGCCGGAGAAGCGCTCGTTGAGTCCGTTGGCGAGCATAGACAGCAGCGCGCCCGGCTGCGTGCCGTGCAGCAGCAGCGCCTCGTTCACCTCGCGGCGCAGCGGCTTGCCAGGCAGCACCGCCGCCGCCGCCGCCGCCGTCTGCGCAGCCTTGCTGCGCTGCGCCGCCGGCTTGCCGCGCTGCTGCTGCGCGATGCGAGCCATCTGGGCCTTGACCTTGGCGACACCCGACTCGAAGGCGGTCCTAGTGAGTCATCACCTCTTCCTCGTTGATTCAACGTTGCGACTCGAGTGGGGCGTCTCAAGGAAGGAAGGCGGTCCGGCTGTCCGCTGTCCGCTCGGTCCGGCGGTCCGGCTGTCCGGGTGTGCTCGAGTGGCACCCTCCCAAGGAAGTGGCTTGGAAGGATCTAGAAGGCGGTCCGGTTGTCCGCGTGCTCGAGCCGCCACGCACGCGCCAGCTTGAGGGAGTCGTACCCCCGCCCGCCTGCAGGAGAGGACCCGACGCTTCGGTGGACGGCTCCAGGAGGAGGGAGCGAGATCGCCCGCCCGCCCGCCCTGCGCGTCGCGGCCTTTGCCGAGCCCCGAGCCGTCGGTCGCCGTCAGCAGCTCGAGCCCCTCCCACACGGCCGGCTCCTAGGAAGGGCGGGAGGGAGGCTCCGAGAAAGTCGCTGGAAAGTCCCCCTCCCACGCGGCGCGGCTCCTCGGAGGCGGAGACAGGCAGCAGCACGAACCCGTCCGATGCGAGCCGCGCCTGCTGCTCGGCGGTCATCTGGCTCAAGGGCGCGTCCTCCTCGCCGCACAAGTCGATCGTCTCGCGGGCGGCGGCGCCGGCGGAGGAGGAAGCGCCGCCTGCGCCCTTTGCGCTCTGGCGGCGAGCCCTGTCGGCCTTGGCGGCTGCCTTCTCGGCGGCGGCCTGCGCGCGCGCGAGGGAGAGGTCCTCGTACGCCTCCTCCTCGTCGCTCTCCTCCCCCTCCTCCCAATCCTCCTCCGCCGCGCGGCACCTAACCGACCAGCAATACTCACTCATTCACATCCCTCCCCCTCCCCCCCCACTCCCCCACCGCAGCTGCACCGGTTGCGCATCGGGTCGTCGCTCAGCGCGCACTCCCACTTCCCGGGGAGAGACGACGGCAGCACGGCGGTGCGCAGCCGCCGCCACTTGTCGCACTTGTCGCACTGCACAAAGACGGTCGGCTCCTCGTCCACAGCCGCAGCCTCCTTCGCCGCAGCCTCCTTCGCCGCAGTCTCCTTCGCCGCAGCCTCCTTCGCCGCAGCCTCCTTCGCCGCAGCCTCCTTCGCCACAGCCTCCTTCGCCGCAGCCTCCTTCGCCGCAGCCTCCTTCGCCGCAGCCTCCATCGCCGCCGCCTCCTCCGCCGCCTCCTCCGCCGCCTTCGCCGCTGCCTCCGCCGCCTCCTTCGCCGCCGCCTCTGCTGCCGCCTCCGCCTCTGCCTTGGCCGCTCCCGCCACCTCGTCCTGTGCTGCGGAGTCGGTGCTCGTCGCCGCACCTCGCAGGCGGATGCGGACCGCCTCCAAGGGCCCTGCCTCTGCTCCGCGCGGTTTGAAGAACTTTGGCAGCACGCGCTCTTCAATGTCGCCGTCGTCGTACTCAACGTCGACGGTGTTATCGGGATGCACCCTGGTCGCCGTGCCAGGGTACCACTTTGTTCCGACGGCGCCGCCACGTTTTGATGCCTCAAACCTCGCAAGCAGCGGCTCGCCAACAGCCGGCAGCCACGCCGCCGGGAGCGGCTTGTCTACGCTCTTCTTCTCGCAGCGAGCGCGCTTCGCCGGATGGTTGGAGTCCGCGTTCTCGTTCTCGTTGTCGGGCTTGGAGCGGGAGGAGCGGCGCATAGGCACAGGTGCGCGAGAGAGAGTCGTGGACGCCACCCCGCCGAGCGCAACCGAGCGCAACACGACGTTCTGCTCAAAAGGCGGTCGAGGAAAAACAATTCGGGCGTTCGCTAACCTAAGATCCCTTGTCAGGAGCAGGAGAGCCCACCTGTGCCCCTGATCGTCCTTCCAAAATCCTGCTCGTGCAGGTGTGGACCCTGTCCTCCTCCCCCATCCCTCGTTTGGTCTGTTTTCTTTCTTTTTACCTAACCTAAGAACGCCGGGTTTGTCTTGTATGCACGACTGGTGGTCTGTCTGCGGTCAAAGGCGGTAAGAGCAAAAAAGCGCACCAGCCGGCCATGGCGCTGCGACCCACCTAGGGGTAAGGGCTCTCCTTGCCCGTAGCGAGTCCCCGAGCATCCGGCCAGCTTGAGCGCGCTTCTTAGCTCCCGCCCTGGGTGTGAGGTTGCCAACTCGCAACTGCACTCCAAGTGCTCCAACCAAGAAGTGCCTCGAACCCTCGATCGACAAGTGCCAGACTGCCAGACAGACAGAGATCCTTTGGCCAGTCGTGGCACGTTTGAACTCTGTCCCTCTTAAGACGGAGAAAATGCGACACAGTTTGTGTGCTTGTCCGTATGTGTGTGAGAGAGAGAGAGATGTTTCAAATAGGAGCAAGCAACCGCCGTCTCTTTCGAGAGTCAGCGAGCCAGAAGACAAACCTGTCGCATGGACACACAGCGAGTGGCGCTTCGAGCGCCTCTTCTTCGCCACGCGCCGGATGCATTATACGGTGGCGTTCCTTCTTGCGAGGCCCTGGGTGCGTCGCGCGGCCGAGGCCATTTCACAGTTGACGGGTGTGGCCCTCGTCGCCCTCGACTGACGATGTGGAGTCTCTTTCCTCGACGCCAGCTCGCTCCGCGCGTGGCGGTGGTCCGCCCTCCGCAAACACCGGCCTGCCATTGATGGAGCATATCACTGCGGCGGCATGAACCTGCGGGCCACACACGGCGTGAGCGGTGCCTGGCCTGTACACCACGAAATCCATCCCCGGGTGTGAGGAAATCCGGACTCCGAAGGGACACGCATGCTGAGCACAGCGTCAAGGGCACGACTGTGGGGGCACACCTTCTCGTCCACCATCTCGGACGCAGCTGAGCATGGTGTCGACGAGCGGTGCACCTAAAAAGGGTGGGTGCCCCTCTCAACAAACTGTGTGTACACGTATGCTGCTTTGGCCCTTGCTTGGCTCCTGCGGGCGGCAGCACCACGTGTGAGTCGACCGATACCGGAGCGCGCGGGCATTGTGCTGCTGTGTGCTAGGGGAGCAGCGATCGAGAGGCACTGGCTACAGCCCGAAACGCACCGCGCGATTGGCTGCAGGCGTTGGGAGGGCGAATCGGGAGCGCCTCTCGGGGAAAGCATTCAAGTCGGTGGTCTCAAACGATACCCGTCTGGTTGACTGGCCAATCTTGACTCCGTCTGATCTTTCTTTGAGACAAGAGCTTGATTTGCACGTGGCGGGGGGCATCGAGGGGTGCAAGGGTGGTAGCTCTGCTTCGGGCGACAGTCCACGTAACCACAGCTCCTCGGGCACCTCGGGGCGGTCCAAGCTGCTGCTGCTGCTGCTCCGTCGAATCGGCGGCGCCCTCCACCCAAAGCAAGAGTGGACCAGGGTCAGCAAGCAGCCGGTGCTCGGACTCAAGGCGGGCGAGCGACACCTCTGCTTGAGCACTCGCCGAGGTGGCATATAGGCGTCGAGGTGCTCACAAGCCGCCAGGCGTTGCCGCTGTGGTTGCGCTACCTTGGGCGGCAAAGGTGTTATGATTGCGACGCTCGGATTGACAACGGGTTCGTCCATGTCATCTTCTTCTTTTGAGCCACGGAGCGGCCGAGGAGCCCGGCCCGGCGACTGGCGACTTCGCTGTACACTGAAAACCCGACCGCCGACGGGAGTACAAGATCAAGAGAGAGTGTAGAGAAGAGTCTACCCCCGAGTCAGACTGTCTACTAGACAGTCTGACTACCCTCTACCGTAGACAGTCTATAGAAAGAGAGTGAGAAGAGAGAAGACGCTCCTGCCTTCCGTGTTCGGTTCCTTGTACTCCTCTCTTGTCACTCCGCGGGGTTTTAATTATTTAAAATTAAATGCATTTTTACGATTTAGATTTTTGTCATTAAAGTGTGCCGCGCCACCGGCTGCTGGTCTTTTTTCGCCTCACTTCCTTCCTAGGAGAATCGAGAAACAGCGGGAACGCTTGTGGGGGAACTTCATTCAACCAACGTTCAAGGGAAAGCGACACCCACCCGCGACGGTCGGCCGACTCGCGAGTCGGCCGACCCCCTCGCGCCGCGTCCAAGCCGCGGCTGCCGGCTCGGAGTCGGCATCATGCAGCATGGACCGATATTGCGGCCCTGTGAAGCGGTGGCACCCAAAGCGCGTCTCCTCCGCGTCAGTAAGCGCAAGCCATGCCCACACGCACCTGCCAGCGCAGCGCGTCGCGCCGCTTCTCTGTCGGCGGCACAAAGTGGTTTGGCGTCAGGCGGCGGGCAGGGCGGCGGCCATCGTCGACGGGCTCCGAGGCGCGAAGCCGCTCGCGGACGGCGCAGACGACGTCGTCGCGCCTCTTGCTCGTCGGCACGACGAACTGCGGCGGCGCCTTGACGCTCCGAGGCCGCCACGGCGACTGGGCAGCGGGCAGTTGTGGCTGCGGCGGGCTGCGGGGCGTGCGTCGGCCGGCCTCTCTTGGGCCCAGAAAGGGGTGCCCGCTCCAGGCCGCGGCGTGGCGGTGGTAGCTTGCGACCACGTCCTGCCGCGGGCGGCGAGGCGTCAGGTCGACCTTGCGTATGAGCGACGCAGAGGAGCCTTCCGCGCCGCTCGAGGCCACCGACTCGCCGCCGGCAGACCCGCGGTGGGGAGGGAGAGGCGGAGACGCCCCCTCCGGCGCGCTGCCGCGGGGGGTGCGCCGCCGCGCCCGGCCCAGCCCGCTGGACGCCGGGGTCGCAGACGACGCAACGCCACCGCGGGCCGCGGGAGGGGAAGGGTAGCCGCGGGTTGGGGTCGTCGTTTCCGCAGGCCGGCAGAAGGGCGCGCCGCGGGCTGGCGACGCGCGTTCGACGTCGCCGCGGCGGCGCTCCGGGAGCAGGCCCGAAGGAGCCTCGTCGACCGGTTCGGAGGCGGGGTAGGCAGCGGCAGAGACGCGAGGCGGTGGCTGGGCGGCGCTCAGAGGCGGAGGCGCGTGCGGCGCAGCGTGGTACTCGCGCAAGAAGGCGCGTAGCATCTGAGCGAGGGGAGGCAGTGTTGGATGTGGGGGCTTGAGGAAGGCATGAAGGTTGGCAGGCTCCGGCGACCTCATCAGGCACCGCGCTGGCGTCGTAGCCCATGCGCGTGAGCTGAGCTCGGACCAGCGCCTCGAAGGCGACGTCCGGATTGGAGTCCTCATGCCCTTTCATTCTGTCAACCTGCAGTAGGCTGAGAGACTCTCAAGCAGTCACCGAGCAGTCTACTGTACCTGGTACCGGCCCCCCTGTCACCCCCGGCGACTCAAATCGCCGGCGGATTTTCTTTTTCAGAAAATTCTTTTCATTGTAATGCAGGCGGCTCTCCCTCCACCGCCGCCGGCCCCGCTGCCCGCCTTCCTCCAGGCCGCGCTTGCGGAGCTAGAGGCCGAGGATTCGCTGCTGGTGCTCGCCAAGGGCCTCGGCGTGCACGCCGTCCTGCGGCGGCTCGTCGAGTCGCAGCTCGGCCCGGAGAACCTCGTGCTCGTCCTGAATACGAGCCGCGACGACGAGGCGCTCCTGCTCTCCGAGCTGGCTGCGGCGGGCCACGATGAGGCGCTGGTGCCACCGACAATCAACAACGAGTGGTCGGCGCCTCAGCGCGCCGAGCGGTACCTGCGCGGCGGCGTCCTGCTCGTGACGGCGCGGATCCTCGTCGTGGACATGCTCTGTGAGCGGCTGCCGACCGGGCTCGTGACGGGCGTCATCGTCGCCAACGCGCACCGCGTGACGGCAACCTCGAACGTCGCCTTTGCTCTGCGCATGTACCGCCAGCGCACGCGCGCCGGCTCCATCCGCGCGCTCTCCGACGACGCCGCGCCGCTGCTGCGCGGCTATTCTCGCATCGAGCGGCTGCTCTCGACCCTCTTCGTGCGGAGGCTGCTGCTCTGGCCTCGCTTCCGCGCAGAGGTGGCCGCCTGCCTGAGTGCTGCGCCGCCCGAGGTGGAGGAGCTGTCGGTCCCGCTCTCTCCGCGAGCGAGTCGCCTGCAGCTGGCGCTGCTCGAGGTGTGAGGCAGACACTTCCTAGACACTTCCTAGACAGTTCCTAGACATGGCGCTGCTCGAGGAGAGACGCGACCCAAGAGAGAGCGCGGCCACGCCTCCGGGCGGGCAGAGTAGCGCCGCCGGCCCCTCTCTATACATATATCGCCCGCGGCCAGGCGCTCGAGGCTTGCGTCGGGGAGCTGCGCTCTTCGAACCCGTCCGTCGACGTGTCGCAGCTGACCACCGAGAAGGAGACACTTCCTAGACACTCCCTAGACACTTCCTAGACACTTCCTAGACACTTCCTAGTCGACGTGTCGCAGCTGACCACCGAGAAGGCACCTCCTCCCTGGCGAGGGACTCGCGCCTCTCCGCCCGGACAGGCGCTCTTCAAGTCCTTTGACAGCGTCGTCCGCGCGCAGCTCGACCCGATCTGGCACAAGACAAGCCGCCGCACACGCGCCCTCGTCTCCGACTTGCAGACCATCCGGCGGCTGCCCCCGCTTCTCGTGGCGCCTTCCAGGAGCCTTCCGGGAAGCGTCTCGCAGCCTTCCCGTAGGCGTCTCCTCTCGCTGCTCGCGTGGTACTTCCTAGACACTTCCTAGACACTTCCTAGACACTTCCCGTAGGCGTCTCCTCTCGCTGCTCGCGTGGTACGACGCGGTCACCCGCCTCCTCGCGCCATGAGTCCGACCCTCGGCGTGCCCCTCACGCGTCCAGGACACGTCCCGCCAGGTCACCTTCTTCGAGTACCTCGAGACCGTCCTCGACGCCGCCACGGCGCTGCACCCGTCGGAGCGACCTCACTGGGTGATCCACTCGAGCGAGGCTGGCGGCGGCGCGGCGCGGGAGCCTGCCTGAGAGCCGCGTCCAGGACACGTCCCCGGCCGGCGCCCCTCAGGCCGTCTTCGTCGCGGCGCGCGAGCGCGTCTACTCGCTGCATCGCACGCAGCCGCTGCTGCGCGTCCGGCGCGGCGGCGCGGTCCACCATCCCTCCCCGCAGGGCGTGCCTCCTGAACCTTCCGGGAACTTTCCTGTAGGCGCGGCCCGTCGCCCCTCCCTCCAGCGCCGCTCGGAGCCGGCGGCAGCGGTGGAGCCGGCGGCAGCGGAGGGGGCGCCGCTGGGGGCAGTAGCAGCAGCGGCGGCTCCGACGCCCCTGCCGCTGCTGGCGGCGGCAGCGGCGAGGCTGGCGGCGGCGAGGCTGGCGTGGGCGGCCGGCTCGAGCTGTCACACAGCCTCGGCGGCGTCGAGGGCGCCGCGGCGCCGCGGGGAGGAGGCCCTCCCCTCGGGGTGCGGCGCGGGGAGGCGCGCTCGCAACCTCTCCTCCCTCGCCCTACCCGTGGGCGGCTCTGGTCCCGACAGGTGCGTCTCGAGCTTGAGGAGCACCCGAAGTGGAGCGCTCTGCTGCAGCTGCTGCGAGAGATCGCCTCGGAGCGCGCCGGCGGCACCACCAGCGCACATGGCGGCGGCACCACCAGCGCAGACGGTGGCGACGCAGCGGGACAGGGCGGAGGAGGCGGTGGAGGAGGTGGTGGAGGAGGTGGTGGAGGAGGTGGCGGAGGAGGCGGCGGAGGAGGCGGCGGCGGTGGAGGCGGTGGAGGAGGCGGCGGCGGTGGAGGTGGCGGTGGAGGCGGCGAGCGGTGTGGGCGCGGCGAGCCTTCCAGGCAGCCTCCAGGGAGCTTCCAGGAACCTTCCCATAGGCGAGCCGCCGGTGCTGCTGCTCGTCCGAGATGCACGCACTGCGGTCGCGGTGCGGCAGCTGCTGAGCTACGGCGCTCGCCCCCTCCTCGAGGCTGCGTCCGTTTACAGAGGTGATCCCACACGCTCCGATGGCGCCTCGACACGCCCGCCCGCCCTCGTAGGCCACTCTCGTGCGTTGGGTGGGCCGCCGCTCTCGCTCGCAGACGCCGGCGGGCTGCCTGCTCTCGAGGAAGTGTCTAGGAAGTGTCTAGGAAGTGTCTAGGAAGTGTCTAGGCGGGCTGTCTGCTCTCGAGTCGGCAACATGAGGTGCGCTCGCCTCCACTACTTTGCTGGCCCCGCTAGCCGTCCGCGCCGCGCGTGCCCAGCTGGCGCGTTTGCCCCCGACAACGTCCGCCTGAGGAGCTGAGGAGTTGCCCCGAAAAGAGGCGTTGGAGGGTAGGGTTAGGGTTAGGGTTAGGGTTAGGGCTAGAGTTGCCCTGACAACAGGCGTCGCTGCTACGCGCCGCCGCCGAGCGACTCGCCTCTTCGCACGCGTCGCTCTCGGAGGGAGGCGGTGGCCCGAGCGCGCTTCCGGGAGCCGAGGCAGCCCCGCAAAACCCTCGGAACCAGCCTGACCAAGGGTGGGCGTCGGGTCGCGGCGGCGGCGGCGGCGCAGGCGGCGGCGGGAGTGCAAGCGGCAGCGGCGGCGCGGGCGGCGGCGGCGGCGATGCCAGAGGCAGGGGCGGCCGCGGCCGCGAGGGGCGAGGGCGCAAGCGCAAGACTGCGCCTGGAGGCGGAGGCGGGGGAGGCGGGGGAGGCGGGGGTGGAGGTTCAGCAGCTGCAGCCCTGCCTCGCCGCCCAAGTCATCGCAGCACTGAGGTTGAGTGCTTGCGGAGCAGCAGGCGCTTCTGCAGCCGGCGGCGGCGGCGGCGACAATGACGACGGCGACGAGGAGGCGGAGAGCGGCGCGCGGTTTGAGCTGTTCGACGCGCTCGGCGTCGAGGTCGCCCTCGTGCAGCACGGAGGGCGCGCCTTCGGCCTCCTCTCGTCCCTCGCGCCGCGGCACGTGCTGCTCTACGACCCCGAGCCGGCGATGGTCCGAGCGATCGAGCTCGAGCAGGCGCGGCGATGCGGCGGCGTGTGTATGCGAGTCTATTTTCTGGCGCTGGCCAACTCTGCGGGGAGCAGCAAGCTGTGAGTAGACGATGTTGACGCGTCAAGCCGTGAGCAGGTGCTTGCCGATTCTGTCGAGGAGCAAGGCTACCGCTCCGACCTCACCGCGGAGAAGGAGGCCTTCGAGGGGCTCATCCTCGCAAAGGGTTCCCCGACCCCCCCCCCCCCGCCCTAGACACTTCCTAGACACTTCCTCGAGGGGCTCATCCTCGCACAGGGTTCCCCGCCCCCCCCCGCCCGCCCCCCCTCCCGCCGCGCCACGCCTGCCCCCAGCTGTGCCCCCAGCTGTGCCCCCAGCTGTGCCCCAGCCGTGCCGTGCTCTCGTAGGGCGGATGGCGCTGCCCTCGGAGTGGGAGGGCCGCACGGCGCAGCAGCTGCCGCCCCAGCTCCGCCTCGAGGAGGAGGCGACTGCAGGCAGCAACGCGGCGACGCTGCGCGGAGGCCGCGCTCGCGCCTCCTCCTCTCGAGGTGCCCCGACAGCCGTGGTGGACTTGCGCGAGTTCCGCTCGGCGCTGCCCAACATGCTGCAGCTGCACGGCGTGACGCTGCGGCCGGCGACGCTCGAGGCGGGGAGGGACGGCTGCCGCGGCGAGGCGCTGCTCACGGTGCGGCGGTGTGAGCAGGCGACGCTCGAGGTCGGAGACTACGTCCTTGCCCCCGACCTCGTGGTCGAGCGCAAGGCCCTCCCCGACCTGGTGCCGCCGCCGCCCTCTCGCCCCTACCCGCCCTCCTCTCCACGCACACGGGCCGAGCCCGTGACGTGGCCGCTCGTCCAGGTGCAATCGCTCGCCTCGGGCCGACTCTACAACCAGGCGGAGGCGATGCTGCGCACGTACCGGAGGCGACCCGAGATTACCCGAGATTGCCCGAGATGACCCGAGATTCCTCGATGCTGCGCACGTACCGGAGGCGACCCCCCCTCGAGGGCGCCAGAGGGGCGGAGGTGTGAACGGCGTCTCTTCACAGGGGCAGCGCCGTGCGCAGGCCGACCCTCCTCCTCGAGTTCGACGAGAACCGGCCGTTTGCTCTCGCGACGCGCGCCGCGGTGGCGGCAGGCCTCTCTGGCGTGGCCGCCCCCCGACCCTGCCCACGGATCCTGCCTGCAGGCGCGCCGAGCTCGCCGCCGATCTCTCTCCCAACTCGACCACCTCCAAGCTGTGCTTGCTGCTGCTCCACTTCCCAAAGCTGCGGCTGCTCTGGTCGCGCCGCCCCCTGCACACGATCGCCATCTTTGACGCGCTCAAGCGCGGCGCGCCCGAACCCGACGTCGACAAGGCGGCGGCGGTCGGCACTCACGCCGAGCAAGCTGCGGGCCAGCTCTTCAACATGACGCCGCAGGACTTGCTGCGCTCGATGCCGGGCGTGCACGCGCACAATTACCGCCGGCTGATGAACGCGGTAACCAACATGCACGAGCTCTCGCAGCTGTCGCTCGGCCGCTTGGCGGAGCTGCTCGGCGAGCAAAACGCCAGGCGGCTCCACACGTTCCTCCACCAGTCGGCATGAGCGAGCCCGAGCGCAAACACTGCCAGATCAATTCAGCACCACTACGGCGGTACGTTACTCCCCCGGACGTTACGTCCCGCTGACCTGTCTTCCTGTGAGTATTTTACTTGGTCTGAAAAGAAGAGAGGGAAAGGCTCAGCATTCTTTTACTCATTAGAAGCCGTCGTCCGACGGGTCCGTGCACGTGTGCGCCTAGAGAGGCTATTTTGTAAAATTCTTTTACCCACCTCAGCCCCCCCAAGCAGCGCCTAGGCCGATTAGTCTTCTCTCACTGCCTGCGGGAACACCCTCGGGCGGCCGGGTGGGGCTGCGGCTGGAGCTAGCATGGCTCGACAGAGCCGAGACCCCGCGTTGAGGCGGCGCTCCTGTGGGCGGCTCTAGAGTCGGGAGAGATATTCGGCAGATCTGGAGCGGCCGCTCACTGCTCGGTACCCCCCCTGCACATCTAAAGCCATCCCTCCTGCTAGGGGGGGGGTCCCCCCCAGCAGCAGAGCGCTGCTGCGGGGGGGGGGGGGTCCGGACCCGACTCCCACTCCGATCATTTGCCTCCAAGCGTCCATGTCGTTGCTCAGGTCCACTCTGACTCCGTGCCCAGTGTCGTGCGGAGTTCCGAAATTCTTTTACTGTGCCAGTGCGCGCCAGTCCCAGTAAAGAAAGAAAGAAAGAAAACAGACAACCCAAGGGAGGAATGGGAGGACGGCACGCCGCCACCACACAGGGATTTTAAGGAGAGGGGTGTGGTGCGCTAGCCGTCGCCCACCCTTGGGCGTCCGCCTCTTCCTATCTCTCTTCGCATTCTCTCTCCGATTCTCGCTGCAACCTTCGTGCCACCTCGCGAACGCCCCCGAGTGCACTTGGAGCACTTGGAGTGCAGTTGGCAGCCTCACATCCATGGCCGGGGAGCTCAGAAGCGCACCCAGCGGGCCGGATGATCGGGATCGGGTTGCGGGCAAGAGAGCCCTAGCCCCGGGGGTGCGCGTTCGCAGGGAAAGGGCCTTAAAGTAAACACGGGTCTCCGAGGGTTGGTTCTGCGCTCCGGGTTTCCCCTAGCGGCGGAACGCCCCCTCTACTCGGAGCTAGTAAACACCAGACACAGGTACTCGTTTGGAGCACTTGGAGTGCGGTCATTAACCTCACGCCCAGGACCGGGGAGCTGAGAAGCGCACCCAGTTGGCCGGACGCTCGGCATCGGGTTACGGGCTAGAGAGCCCTAGCCCTGGGGGGTGCGCGGTCGCAGGGCCATAACACGTCTCCGAGGGATGGTTCCGTGTACCGGGTTACCCCTTAACTGCAGAACGCACCCTCTTCCTCGACCGTGGGGGGGTGCGCAGTCGCAGGGCCATAACACGGGTCTCCGAGAGTTGGCTCTGCGCTCCGGGTTTCCCCCAGCGGCGGAATTTTTCCCTCGCGCTGTGGGTCCCCCTAGCTGCGAAACGCCCCCTCTACTCGGAGCTATAATACGAGAATACTCTCCGAGGGTTGGCCCGTGTACCAGGTTTCCCCTTAACTGCAGACGCCCCCTCTACTCGGAGCTAGTGATACGAGAATACGCACCGTCCCCACGCAATACCTTACTCGAAGATAATACGAGAATACGCAGCTGCGAGGCACCTGTCGAGCAGCTTCCGCGGCGAGCAGCTTCCGCGGCCGTGGGGCGTGGGGGGGGGGGGGGGGGGAACCAAAAAGGAAGCCGCCGTAATAAGGGCCGCCAGAGAAAAGATTAAGGAAACCGCGGCGGGGGGGGGGGGGGACAGGTTTGGTCTGTTCGGAAAGGGACGGCGGAAGGGGGCGACACCCCGGAGTGTCGCCCGCCTCGCGAGGGCGGGGGGGGCGAGGGAGAAGATGAGTGGAATTGATGAGTCGGGCCGTCGTCCGTGCCTCCCCTCTATACGTCAGAGTGGGACCTACGCCGCGCCGGGTAAGGGGCGCGCCCGGTCCTCGACGGAGCCGCGCGCCCCAAACGACCCAGGCGGCGAGTAGTCGTCCTCGAACCTTCGACATGTAGTTGCCCATAGTTAGCGCCTGCCCGCCCCCCCCTCCATAGCTTCGCAAAAGAAAAAACAAAATACAAACAAGCAAAAGAGAAAGCGAAGCCAAAAAAAACGATTGCGTAAACGGCGTCACAAAGCCCGCCGGTTTTGATCGACAATCGTGAGATTGACCGCCGTCGACCAGAGAATTGACGGCAGCATGCAGACGATGTGCCAGCTTGCTCGCGCCGCGCCGGCTGGCTCATCGAGCGCGCTCTCTGGCTCCGTCCGGGCCACGCGCGGCGCCGCGCGTGCCTCGCGCCACTCGCCTCGGCTGGCAGTACAACGCCAAAGCCGCCTCGCAAACACCGCGCACAGCACCAGCATGCTGCCCACCAGGCAGCAGAGTGCTGCACCGGCGTGCAGCGGATGCTGCGGCGCTGCGGCGCCGCCTCCCCGCCCTGTCCACGGAGCAGGCGAGCGGCGGCACGGCCTTCCACCAGCTGCAGTAGGTGCGCACTTCCCAGTGGAAGCACAGGATGCTCCCTCCGCATACGCAGCTTTGCGCAGCGCAGCGTACGGGCCACGCCACGCAAAGCCGACCCTCAGTCTGCCCGAGAGGCTGTCGGAGGAAGGCCTGGCAAGCGTGTACTCGCCTTTTCCGCGGCCATGCCCTCCGCCCGGGCGAGCGAGGAGCGGGGACACAACCATTTCTGGAATTGTGTGTCTGAAGAGATCCACTGCAAAATTCTTTTACTCGCGGTACCCGCTGGGTCTTTGTGGCCTTGCGCGGCTGTGGCTTGCGCCCCCCACAAGCGACCTTGTGTGTATATGCCCGCACGCGACACGGAGGATGCGGTCGACTCGGAACCGCCCGTGCCGGATGAGCTGAGTTGCGCCATTTGTCTCGACTTGCTTCTCGATCCCTGCACGTCGTTCCCATGCGGGCACAGCTTTTGCGCTGGCTGCGTTGCAGCATGGATGGAGCGTGGCAGAGACCCGTGCCCGACCTGCGGCACGCCGATGGCGCACGTGGCGCTCTCGTTTGCCCTCAAGGCGGCGGTCGAGCGCCACGCCGGAAGGAGCGGCGTCGCGGCGCATCGAGCCCGGCGTGACACGCCCGAGGTGACCGCTTTCTCGCGCTCCGCCGCGCCGCCGACGCGGCTCGACGAGAGGATTGTCGCCGCAGTGCTCGGCCGCGCCGCGCTGCCAGCCGAGGGCGCGCAGGGCGGAGCCGCGGAACTGGCTGCCGCGCCGCTGCTGCCGCCCGCCGCCGAGCTGGTCGCCTTTCTGCTCGCGCCGCGCAAGCTGCTCGCGCTCTGGTTCGCCGCCTTCGTCGGCTTCTTCGTCTTCTTCCTGCAGCAGAACCTGTGGGCGCTCACCGCGCCTCCAGCGCGCGCGACCGACGCGGCGCCAGCTGGGGCGGGCGGCGGCGAGGGCCTTGGCGCCCACCCCGCCGCCGACTCGCCGCTCGACGCGCTCGACGCGCTCGACGCGCTCGACGCGCTCGACGCGCTCGTCGGCGTGAGCTCCGTCTCGCTCTTCCTCTCGTGCCTCGCCCTCGCGGCCGCGCGGCAGCACCTCGCCGGCGTGCTGCAGCTGCCTCGCCCGCGCGGCGAACTCGCTCTCCCTCTCCTCGCCGTCGCCGCCACAGTCTTGCTCGCCCTCGCCTACGTTGGCGTCGCGCTCTCGACTCCGCTGCCGGATCTGCCGCTGCCGGATCTGCTGCCCTACCTCACGGCGCAGGCGGGCAGCGACGCGGCTCAGGCCGACCCGGCCCAGGCCGACCGGGCGGCGCGCTGTCCGCAGTGGGCCTCTGGAGGCGAGTGCGTCAACAACCCGTCGTACATGCTCGAGCACTGTGCCGCGTCTTGCCTGCACGCGGGGCGCGGGCCGTCGCAGGGAGGGCACGGCCCGGCGGCCTGGCTGGCGGGGCAGGAGGGCCGGCTGGCGGGGGCGGACTCTCCGATGGCGAAGCTGCTGCGCACCTACGAGGCGGAGGGTGCGAGACCAGCCGAGATCACACCCGAGATCACACCCGAGATCACACCCGAGATCACACCCGAGATCACACCCGAGATCACACCCGAGATCACACCCGAGATCACACCCGAGATCACACCCGAGACTACACCCGGCGTACGAGGCGGACGGTGCGAGGTCACACTAGATCATCCGAGACGTCCCGAGATTACACCGGCGCTGCGGCTCTTGACCCCCCCCCCCCCCTCTCATTGCGCCCAGGTGCCTGGCGCGCTTACAGCGAAACCACGATGCTGCTGCTGCGGACGACGCTGCCGTCGCTGCCGATGCTCGCCGCGAAGGTGTTCGCCGTCACCTTTGTCCTCGTATACGCCGTGATCAGATTGGCGCCCGCCCACCGCCTCGTGCGATGGCACGACCCGGCGGCGGCGGGGCACTGAGAGTGCTGTGCTATTCGCTGCGCCTCGACTCTTGCCGCGTCAGTCCGGCGTGGCGCGTGCCGAGACGACGCGTGAGCGGAGATACCGTTAATCTTTAACGCGCGCCGCCCGGCCCCCGCTCGAGAGACGAGCCGAGCGCCCCGCGAGGCCCGGGCGAGCCGCGAGCGTCTCTCCTTTTTGTGAGTATTTTGAGTGGGTGCAAAATAAAACGTGATATTCGGACGGGCGTTCGCGCGCGGCCGCGGCCGTGTGGCCGCGCCGGGGCATGGGCCGGGGGGTGCGAGCCCCGGGCGACATGCGAACATACACGTATGTCTCCCCGGCCTACCCGGCGCTGCCGCATTCGGCTTTCGGGCTGCCTGGCGTGGCGGCCGACGGCGACGCAACTCTGACAACGAACTTCAGTGGCGAGAACGCCTCGCCACTCTTGAGACCGATAAAGCGGCGCCGGCGCAGCACCCCTGCAGCCCTCCAGCCACCGACGCGGCCGCATGTTGGCGCCCGCCGATCAAGGGCTTCCGGCTTGTGCTACTTGCGGAAGGCGCCCCCGTACCGCGGCTCGCTCGTCGGCGCGGCAAGCTCCTCCGACTCGAAGGCGCCTCCGTACCGACTCTTCCTCCGCACCGGCGGCGCCACCGCGGGCTCCGGGGCTGCCGCCTGCTCCGAGGCAGCCTCTTTCGCACCGCCGCCGCCCTCGTCGCCGCCCTCGTCGCCGCCCTCGCCGCCGCCCTCGCCGCCGCCACCGGCCGCCTCGCCCTCGCCGCCGAGAGCGCCATAGTACTCTGGGTGCTCGTCGGTGCAGCGCTTGAGCTCGAGCGTCGCGGCGCCGCACAGCTCCACAAAGTCCTCCCCGTTGCCGCGCGCAGCCTCGATGCAGGCCTCCCACGCCTGCGGGAAGGGCGGAACTATCTCGGAAGTGTCTCGGAAGTGTCTCGATGCAGGCCTCCCACGCCTGCAGGAAGTGTCTCGGAAGTGTCTCGGTGTCTCGGAACTGTCTCAGAAGTGTGGCGGCGGCGCGCCTCGAAGGGAGCCTTGCACGGCCCACCCTTCATGAAACGGCAAAACCCGCACTCCGGCGCCGCAGTCGTGGCGCGCACCTCCCACGCCGGCCCTCCTCCCTCGCCAAAGACCTCAACCTCGACTCGCCCTACACGGCAGAGCTACCCCTCGCCTCAGAGGTGCGGCGGGGGCGAGGGTGGCCAGCCTCCCGCACCCGCCGCCGCCTGCCACAGCGCCGGCCGCGGCAGGAGGCAGCTCCCCTGTCCAGCGGCCGCCTGCGGGACATGTCGCGGACGTGTCGCGGACATGTCTCTGAAGGCGGGAGCTCCGTCTCCCACCGGCTCCGCCTCCGCCGTGCATGAGCCTCGCCGCCACGGGAAGCGCCTCTGCGTCTCGCTCGAGCTCGAGGATGCCGACCGCCTGGCGGACGGGCGTGGAAGTGGGCAGGAGAGGCGGGCGGGGGTCGGGAAGGGGAGGAGGCGAGGAGGCGAGGAGGCGGGAGCGAGGCGAAGGGGAGGCGTTGCCTCGAGCTGCCTCCAGAGGGACTCGGCTTGCTCCCACGCGGGGGTGACCAAGATGACGGCCTCCTCCTCCTCCTCCTCCTCCTCCCCCCCCCCGGCCGCGCCCTTTTCTCCTTCCGCAGCGCCCACCGCCGGCCTAGCCTCCGAAGACTCGGCAGGCGGCTCGGGCGGCTCCGGCGGCTCGGGAGGCTCGGGGAGCTTAGCGAGCGAGATTGGAAGGACGGGGTAGCCGACGCCACCCGGGTGCAGCGCTGCTCCCTCGGGCCACAGGCGCTCGCCCAACGCGAGCAGCAGCGACTCGGAGCTTCCGTCGCGAGCGTAGGCCAGCACCCGCATCGTCGTCGACTCCCGCTCAACGTCGACGCACGGGCGGAGGAGGACGCGCTCAGCGAGCTGCCGCTCGTGTGCGGGCGGGTAGCGCCGCATCACCTCGGACGACGAGTCGGCGACCAAGTGCGTGTGCAGGCAGGGAGGCTTCTCCTTGGCCTCCGGAGGCTTCTCCGCCGCCACCGCTTCTGGCGGTGTCGCGTCTGGCGGCGAGGCGGCGTCGGAGCTCGCGAGCGAGCGACTGAGAGAGGCAACCGTCACGCCGGCCGCGCCGATGGCCAAGCGTGGGAGGCGGTTGCGCCACATTGCGCGAGAGAGGTAGTGGGACGGCGAGGCCTTAGCTCCGTGCACTCGACCGCCCTCGCCGCGCGCAAGTGATTTCTTGTTGGTTTACGCTCATTCAAAAGAAATTTTTGTTCCGCCCATCCCTCCGTTGTTTTCCTTAAAATCCCTGTGTGGTGGCGGCGTGCCGTCCTCCCATCCCTCCCTTGGGTTGTCTGTTTTCTTTCTTTCTTTCTTTGTTTTTCTTTTGTTTGTTTCTTTCTTAGGCCCGGGCCTGCCCGTTGCCCGTGCCGCCGGGTCGGCAACCTGTCTACCGCACTGCTCTGCCTCTCTGGGGGAGAGCGAGATTGTTTGTTTCGTTTTGCTCTTTGCACTCTGGAAGCTCTGAAGCTGGTGTAGGCTGTAGCTCTGCGCAAAAGTTGTTGGCCCGTGCTGTTCAAAGTTCACTCTCCAGCTCTCTGCCGCTCTCGCGCTCCCTCTCTCAAGCCTAAGAAGTCAAAGATGCATGATGGCGCCCGGCCCTCGCGGCCCCTCCGCTGCGGCTCAGGTTGTCAGGCTCATCGGAGCGGCGATCGCGGCGCGCTCGAAAGCAAGTGGGTGGAGGCAACGCCACCCGCTCTCGCAGGGAGGGGGTGCTCCCCCTCTCCCTCGTGAGGCCGCCACCACGCCCTCCGCCACCACGCCCTCCGCGCTGCCTCTCCGGCTCCTCACCGCGGCGCCTCGATCATCTCGAGCGCCTGCTCCTCGGTGACGGGCGTCAGCCGGCTCGGCCCAGCGCTGCCGTTCGGCTCGTCGCGTGCGAGCCTCGAGAAGCGCGTCCCGCAGCAGCCGCGCGCGCGCATCACCATCGCGAGCGAGACGCTGATCGGGACGAGGAAGAGCAGCGTGCAGCCGAGGAGGAGCAGGCTCCGGTCCTTGCCCTTTCTGCCTTCTCTGCTCGCCGGCTCGGCCTTCCCCTTCCCCTTCCCCCTGTCCGAGCTCTCCGCCGCCGCCGGCTTGCTCCTCTCCTTCTTCTCCTTGGCGCCCTTGGCCTTGTCGGCCTTGGCCTCCCGCCCCTTGTCGGCCTTGTCGGCCTTCTCAGCGCCCTTGTCGCCACCCTTGCCATCCTTCTCGGCCTCGCGCTCGTCGTGCGCGTGCGGCTTGCGGGCCGCCACCGCAGCGTGCTGATCGTGCTTGCTCCCGTTCCCCGCGGCCGCCTCGTGCTCATGCTCCGCGTGCGGCTTTTGCGGCGGCGCGGCGAGCTCGGGCTGGCTCGCATTGCTGTCCATGGGCGAGCTGCTGGGAGCGTCCGCCGGCGCGGTCGAGTTGTTGGCAGCGACGTCGAGCCGGCGAGCGTCGAAGCACAGCGTGACGGCGGCGTCGCAGCAGTCGCCGCGCTCCGCGCAGCCGGCATCGCAGTGGCAGCGCTCCGCCTCGTCGGGCGCGGACGGGAAAGAAGGGACCTCGACGAAAGAGGCAGCGGTGGAGACGCACAGGACCGCGACGAATAACTGGCGCAGCATTGAGCGGCGAGCGTGTGAGGAGGTGTCTTGGGGCGGCGTGCTCGTTCTCGGGCGATAAGTTTGGATTTGGCCGTGCTGGCGGGGTGGTACCTTGTGAGATTTTTAAAGACCAACAAGAAATCACCACTGTCACAGTAATTTGGGCTCGGCAGCTTGTTAGCCCTCAGCCGAAGCTGGGGCCGGTCCCGTAGCCGAGAGAGCCCGCGCCGATGAGTTCGACGCGGTCGGGGGGGCCTGCGAAGAGGCCAGCGAGATGGCGATCGCTGTACTTTGAACGCTTGGAAGGTACAAATATCTTTGACCTTGGAAGGTGCAATGTACGTAAGAGCTAGATACACTGTGTGTGTGTGTGTGTGTGTGTGTGTGTGTGTGTGTGTGTAGGTATGTTGTTGGCAAATCAAGACACAGAGCTCACACAGGATCACAGCGGGAGGAAAGCGGCGAGTCGCAATTCCAGGGGTCGTTGTGGCGGGCCACCCTGTCCAGAGAGGCATGGATGCCAATCTGGGGTCTCTCGACCGAGTCTGATTTCGCCTCGCCGCCTCCCGGTGGTAAAGGCTGTAGAGCCAAAGCGGCGGAGATGGCGGGGGAGGGCGGGGGATCGAGGAAAGCACGACTCGCACCGACCCTTCACGAACCGAAAGGCTGCACCCGGGGAAGGCACAGTAATCCGGGCACGTGTTGGGCGCCCCGTTCCGTCTGGGGCTAGGTCGGCTCAGGGCCCCGTCCACTTCCCTCCCACTTGGCGCGTGATAATGGGGAGATGCCACCCAGGCCAGCCAGGGCAGGGGCGGAGGGCGAGGGCGGAGGGCGGGATGGGCGCCAAGCGAGGGCGGCGGGAGGGCGGAAGTTGGCATGGGTGGGCGGTGGGTGGGTCGGTAGGGCGGGGGGAGGGTGAGGGATGGAGGTGGAGAACGGTGGGGGCGAGGGGCGGCGAAGGAGAGGGTGGTGGCAAAGGGGTGAGCGAAGGAGAGGGTGGTGGCAAAGGGGTGGTCGAGGTGGAGGGCGGGGGGGCGGCATGGGAGAGGTGGAGGGCGGCGGAGGCGTGGGCGAGATGGAAGGCGGCGGAGGCGTGAGCGGCGGCGGCGGCGGTGGGAAGAAGGTGGAGGGTAGCGGCGGCGGCGGCGGTGGGAAGAAGGTGGAGGGTAGCGGCGGCGTGGGCGAGGTGGAGGGCGGCGGCGGCGTGAGCAGCGGTGGCGGCGGTATGGAGGGGGTGGAGGGCGGCGGCGGCGTGGGCGGTACGGCGGCACGGCGGTAACGGACGGCAGGGGGGGCGGCGGGCTAAACGGCAAGGGCGGCGCGGCACGGAGGAAGGAGCGGCACGGCAGGGAGGAGCAAGGACGGCGCGGTAACGGCAGGATCACGGATAGGCGTGGCACGGATAGGAGCGAGCGAGCGGCTAGGTGGCGGGAGGGCGAGGCGAGGGTGGCGGCGGGTGGATCACGAGGAGGTAGAAGGTCTGGCGCGAGCGGCGGAGCGAACGGCGAGCGAGCGGCTAGGCGGCGGGGGGCGAGGGTGGCGGCGGGTTGATCACGAGGAGGTAGAAGGTCGAGCGCGAACGTGCGAGCGAGCGGCAGGCGAGCGGCTAGGCGTCGGGAGGGCGAGGCGAGGGTGGCGGCGGTGGATCACGAGGAAGTAGAAGGTCGAGCGCGAACGTGCGAGCGAGCGGCGAGCGAGCGACTAGACGGCGGGAGGGCGAGGCGAGGGTGGCTGCGGTGGATCATGAGGAAGTAGGAGGTCGAGCGCGAGCGAGCGAGCGAACGGCGAGATGGATCACGAGGAAGTCGAAAGTCGGGAGCGGGCGAGCGAACGGCGAGCGAGAGCGGCGAGGCGGCGGGGAGGGTGAGGCGAGGGTGGTGGCGGTTCGGATCACGAGGAAGTAGAAAGTCGGGCGGGCGAGCAAGCGGCGAGCGAGCAGCGAGGCGGCGGGAGGGTGAGGCGAGGGTGGATCACGAGGAAGGAGAGATTCGGGCGAAGAAAGCCAGGCGCGAGCGGGCGAGCGAGCGAGCGAGCGGCGAGGCGGCGGGAGGGTGAGGCGAGGGTGGTGGCGGGAGGAGGGGGCGAGGGCGAGGGCGGGCGGGCGATAGGCGAGACGACAGGGCGAGCTGGCGTGGCGGTCGGCGGGAGGCGGCGGGAGGTGAAAGGCGAGGGCGATGGCGGGCGGGCGAGAGGCGACAGAGACGACGGGTTGGCGGACGAGCTGGCGGCGGGTCGGCGGGCGGAGGCGGGAGGCGGTACGGCTACTATCATTCGCGCACGCAGACAGGCAGGCAGGCAGGCAGGCAGGCAGGCAGGCAGGCAGGCAGGCAGGCAGGCAGGCAGGCAGGCAGGCAGGCAGGCAGGCAGGCAGGCAGGCAGGCAGGCAGGCAGGCAGGCAGGCAGACCACGCATGCACACTACTATTGCTACTACTGCTACTACTGCTACTACTGCTACTACTGCTACTACTGCTACTACTGCTACTACTGCTACTGCTACTACTTCTACTACTACCATTACTACTGCTACTGGGGGGAGGTGTGGGGAGGTGTTGGGGAGGTGTGGGGAGGTGTGGGGAGGTGTGGGGAGGTGTGGGGAGGTGTGGGGAGGTGTGGGGAGGTGTGGGGAGGTGTGGGGAGGTGTGGGGAGGTGTGGGGAGGTGTGGAGAGGTGTGGGGAGGTGTGGGGAGGTGTGGGGAGGTGTGGGAAGGTGTGGGGAGGTGTGGGGAGGTGTGGGGAGGTGTGGGGAGGTGTGGGGAGGTGTGGGGAGGTGTGTGTGTGTGTGTGTGTGTGTGTGTGTGTGTGTGTGTGTGTGTGTGTGTGTGTGTGTGTGTGTGTGTGTGTGTGTGTGTGTGTGTGTGTGTGTGTGTGTGTGTGTGTGTGTGTGTGTGTGAAGAGAGAGAGAGAGAAGAGAGAAAGAGAGAGCCCAAAGAAACCTACAAGCCAAAGAAATATAAGCGCTTGCGCGCGCGAGTCCCTGGGAAGCGGCCACAGCAGACAGGCTTCGCGAGAGACGGACGATGTCGAGAGCGGCCACGATCGGCGGCCGGCTGCTCCGCGTCCCCGGCGCCTGGCGTCCGGCGCCGTCGGTCGTGGGCATCCCAGGCCTCCCGTCGAAGCCGTGGTGGGAGCGGGACGACCCGCTCTTCGCGGCGTGGCTGCCGCGGCTCGAGGCCGCTGCGCCCGCCATCCGGGCGGAGTGGGATCGCCTGCGCGGGCGGCCGTCGGACTACAGGATCTCCGACTCGGAGCACGCGGGGACGCTGCACTCCTCTCCGGAGGAGTGGCACTGGGCGACGTTTGTGGACGGCGGCCGCGTGGTGCCGGCCTTGTGGGAGGAGTGCCCCGCGACGGCGGCCGCGCTGGAGGGGGTCCCGGGCCTGATGGTGGGCGACATGCCCTATGCATTCGCCTTCTTCTCGACGCTGCGGCCCGGCAGCCGGATCGCGCCGCACACCGCGCCGGCGAACCTGCGGCTGCGGTTCCACCTCTGCCTGCAGGCGGCGCCCGCTGCCTCCGGGCCGGAGGCGGAGACATCGCGGCCGGCGTGCGGCATGCGGGTGGCGGACGAGGTGAGGGAGTGGGAGGAGGGGCGCTGCCTCGTGTTCGACGACGCGTACGAGCACGAGGTGTGGAACGACTCGGCGGGCGAGCGCGCGGTGCTGCTGTTTGACATCTGGCACCCGCTCCTCTCGCCCGACGAGGTGCATGCGATCCGGCAGATGTTTGCCCGCGTGCAGGGCATGGCCGACGCCAGAAGGGGAGGCGCGGCCGCAGAGGACTGACTGCAGGAACACTGCTGCACGTGCCATATATGTCGACGTATGTGACTTTCTTGATTTTTTCCCGAAAAGTTGTCGCCCACCTTTTCCTTGACAACCTTGTTCTTGGAGCACTTGGAGTGCAGTCATCAACCGCACATCCAGGGCCGGGGGGCTGAGAAGCACACCCAGCGAGCCGGATGATTGGCATCGACGGGTTGCGGGCAAGACGAGAGCCCTAGCCCCGGGGGTGCGCGTTCGCAGCAAGGACCGGCACGCCCCCCTCTTTGGGCCATTCCCTTGTCCGAAGTTCGAGTGATAGCCAAAGATACACTTGACTATACATTTCAAAGATACACCTTTATAACATCCCACCGGTGTATCTTCGAAGTGTATCTTCGAGTGTATCTTGAGTGTATCTCAGCGCCTGAGCCCTGGTGTCGAGGTGTCGAGGCCCGGTGTCGAGGGTGTCGAGCTGCTGTCGAGGGATAGAGGTGTCGAGGCCTGTCGAGGCCTGTGAGGCCTGTCGAGGCCTGTCGAGGCTGAAACCATGCTTGTCCGTGTCGAGGAGTGTCGAGGGGTGTCGAGGGGTGTCGAGGGTGTCGAGGGTGTCAAGGGTGTCGAGGGTGTCGAGCGGGTGTCGAGCGGGTGTCGAGTGTTGTCAAGAGGCGTCTGAGGTATCGAGGTGTCCAAGGTGGCAGGTGGATGCAGTTGCAGCCCATCAACATACAACAAAAGTTGGGCAGCAGTTGCAAAGCTGTTTCATCCCTTAGTTGCAGCCTCAGTTGCACCCTGTTGATGTAGCACAACCTGAGCACAACCAGTATACTCTCTGTGGACATTTGAGGACATCAAGTGCCAGGAGTCATTGCCACTGTGCACCAAGGTGCTGTGCAGGCGCAGCACCGCAGCAGCGTCGCTGCTGCAGCAGCGTCGCTGCTGCAGCAGCGTCGCTGCTGCAGCGTCACCGGCGCACAAAGCGCAACTGACCACAGCGCTCATGGCACAAGGCTGGTGCCATGAGTCAGTGGACATTGCCACTGCACAAGGTGCTGTCCAGCAGCTAAGGGCTACAGTACCCCATCGCAGCAGCGTCGCCGCCGCTGCAGCGTCGCCGTTGCAGCGTCGCCAGTGCACAAGAAGCGCAATGGACCACAGGTCTGCACTCATGGCACAAGCTCACTGGTGTGAGGATTCATTGCCACTGTACAAGGTGCTGTGCAGCACCTTAGGGCTACCTGAGTACTGCCATGTTTGCTGCATCAACAGGGGTGCAACTGAGCTGCAACTTGAGCTAGAACTTGAGAGGCTGCAACTCAGGGATGAAAGTACTGCCAGCCAAGTTTGATTGCTGCTGCAACCCTGATTTCTAACTCTGTGACTCCAATGGGTCTACGTCTCTGCTGTGTTAGGATCATCAGAGGTGTCGAGCGGTGTCGAGCGGTGTCGAGCGGTGTCGAGCGGTGTCGAGGGGTGTCGAGGGGTGTCGAGGGGTGTCGAGGTGTCGAGTTTGGCACCTTGACACGGACGAGCATGGTTTCAGCCTAGATGGTGTCGAGGGGTGTCGAGGGGTGTCGAGGGGTGTCGAGTTTGTCGAGTTGGCATGGGTTGTCGAGGTGTCGAGTCGGTGTCGAGGTTTGGTGTCGAGGTGTCGAGGCCAGGGCTCAGCTCAGCGCCGGGCGCCCCAGGACCAGTTGCAGAGGACGCAGGTGGCCGGGTCCCACGAGTGCTGGCACTGGCCTGGCTGGGGCTCACCCACAGGGCCCACAGGGATGACTGGCTCCGAGGGCAAGGGGTGGTAGCCCATGGGGAGAGGGACTACCGGCACACACGGCACACCGGGACCCGTGAGAGGAGACTGTGGAGGCTGCGCCGGCGCGGGCGTGAGCGGCGGCCTCTGCGGCCGCCTGGCCTGCTTGCGCGCCTCCTTGGCCGCCCGCTCTACCGCCATATCCTACAGCCCAGGGAAGGAGGACTGAGCGCAGCCAGGATGGGTGCGGGCTCAGGAGCGCACCTCCGGGGAGCGGCGAGGCTTGCGAGCTGCAGGCGGCGGCAGCTCCGACCCGTACTCGTGGTAGTAGGCCAGCTTGGCGGCCGCCTCCTCGGCTGCCGCGCTGTTCGAGCCGGGCAGGTGGCGCTGAAACTTCTCGCCGACCGGCTTGAACTTGGCGCAAAAGGGGTTGTTGCGCTTCTTGCTGCCGCCTTGCACGATAACGTTCTCGAAGCCGGTGCTGGATGCGGACGACATGCGGAGGGCCACGGGCTTGCCCTTCCAGACGCCGGCGCGGAACCAGACGCCATTGGAGCCCTCAAAGGGGCGGGCCGAGCCCGTCCAGCTCCATGAGCAACTGCCGCTCCCGCTTCCGTGTATCTTCACTATGAACGCGCTCCGTGAAGATACACCTGTAGGTATATTGTTGGCACCGCTTCGACCTGGAACCCCGTGATGAAGATACACCGCTTCGGCGCGGAACCCGCATAAGTAAATCTGCGGTGTATCTTCGGTGTATCTTCCGTGCGTCTAGATACACGGAGTGGTGTATCTTCTCTCATGACACGAACCTCCACCCGGGGAACCTCCCAAAGGGGGGGGGCGTGCCGGTTGGTAGTTCGCAGGGAAAGGGCCGTAAAGTAAACACGGTTCTCCGAGGGTTGGTTCTGCGCTTTGGGTGTCCCCTAGCGGCGGAACGCCCCCTCTACTCGGCGCATGTTCTCTTTTTTCTCACTGGGAGTCTAGCAGCGAGCCGGTTCTTTACCAGGTTGCAACCCTTGTTCCGCACTGATCTGTGCTGTGAATCGAGCGGCAACCAACAGCTCTCAGGACCCCCCGGTGCTGGGGTGCTGCCAGCAACCAACCAACTCACCGGCGAGCGGAGCGAGCCGAAGAGCTGGGGCCAAATTGGCGCTGTGAACGTCGTTTGAACTGATTTTCGGCGGGCACGTCGCACCTACGTGGCGGGCCGCCGGGCCGGCAGCAGGGCGAGGGCCCAACTTCAGAATCGTGCTTTGAGTTGGGTTGTTTCGTGTTGGGTTGGGTTGGTTGGGTTGGGTTGTTTGTTGGCGGGTTGGGTTGTTCCGCGTGAGGCTGGGTCGTCGGCGCGAAGGGTGAGGTCTCGACCGCCGCCGCTCACGCCAGCGGACGGCCACCATCGGTGTTTTTGGCTTCGCCACCGTCCAAGGCGTGCGCCATGCGCTCGCCGGCATCGAGCGGGCAACGTGATCGACCGAGCGGCTTGCTGTGTGGACGCCTTCTTCTGGCTCTCGTCGAGAGCGTTTTGCGTCCCGGCGGGTGGGAGAATATGTGTCGTCTGATGTGTCACTGTGTGCGTCACATCGGTCTTGATAACAAGCACGGTCGATCCGTCGAAGCGATACACTCGTTCCTATCACGCTGGAAGGCTGGCACGGAGCTCTGTGCCGGCACACAGCAAGAGCCGTGCGGCAAGAAGAGCTCGATGGGGAGCGAGAACCGTCAGAGGTGCTCACCCAGGTTTCGGAAGTCCGCCTTGATGCGGTCAGTTCCCCCCAGGTTTGACCGCGCAGCTCGCAAGACTCGTCGAGCACTCGCAGCCTTTCTGCGCCTCTGACTCTGCAAGCTATGCGGGAAGAGCAGTTTATCCGCAATATATCGACGAGTTCGAGAGAGCCACAGGCTTTCGCTCGGGAGGGATTGAGTGCATCGCGACGGACTTCAGGTTACACCTCTGACGGTTCTCGCTCCCCATCGAGCTCTTCTCTTGCCGCACGGCTCTTCTGTGTGCCGGCGCAGAGCTCCGTGCCAGCCTTCCAGTGTGATAGGAACGAGTGTATCGCTTCGACGGATCGACCGTGCTTGTTATCAAGACCGATGTGACGTACACAGTGACACATCAGACGACACATATTCTCCCACCCGCCGGGACGCAAAACGCTCTCGACGAGAGCCAGAAGAAGGCGTCCACACAGCAAGCCGCTCGGTCGATCACGTTGCCCGCTCGATGCCGGCGAGCGCATGGCGCACGCCTTGGACGGTGGCGAAGCCAAAAACACCGATGGTGGCCGTCCGCTGGCGTGAGCGGCGGCGGTCGAGACCTCACCATTCGCGCCGACGACCCAACCTCACGCGGAACAACCCAACCCGGGCCAACAACCCAACCCAACCCAAAAAGCACGATTCTGAAGTTGGGCCCTCAGGGCGCCCCCGCGCGGATGCCGACGAGGATCACGGTGCGCTATCTGGGCTCGGAGGTCGGCAAAAAGGTCGCGCGACCCGACACCAAGGGGGAGGTGGACTGCTGACAGGGTATGCGATTTTAGTGTATGTAGCTCTTACGATTTTGCCGCCCCCCCCCCCCCCTTGAGAACGCTGAACGGGGCTAGCAAGTGCGGGACCTGGGGCAGCAACCAACAACGTGGACGGGGATGGGGTGCTGCTCAACCGGCGGCAACCAGCAGCGTTCACAGCCGAGTGCGGAACAAGGGTTGCAACCTGGTAAAGAACCGGCTCGCCGGCGCGCGACTGCATTTGCCTTGCAGCTCACAGCTCGCAGGCAACACACATGGCAGCGCTCGTCGCTACTGCACTGCACGCCTTGTCGCTTCGTGCGGTGGTGATCCGCAGCGGGCTGCAAAGGAGCTCCGTCCTGCGGCTCTCCGAGCTGCTGCCGGAGCCTCCAGGTGCTAGCATCGGGGCCGCCACGGGAGCAGAGGTCGAGAAGAACGCGGACGGCATCCCCGTGTACATGCTGCGCACATCTGGCACGGTCACCCGCCTCGCGGCGGATGGCTTGGGCACGACTGCGGCGGACGAGGGCGTGGCGTTCGCGGAGGGCGAAGTTGTGAGCATCGTCACAACGGATGTGATTGAGATGGTGCAGCAGCAGGGCGGTGCGGCAGAGAGGGTGAGCTGCCTCGGGGAGACCATTCAGGTCGATGGCATGACCTTCGACGACTTGCAGGCGGAGGACATCTTGGATATCTCCTCGGAGGGCGAAGGGCAGGGTCCCGTCGTTTCGCTCGTGGTCGTGGAGCACCGCCCCCCTCTCACGGCGCCCCAGCTGGTCCAGATCGACGACGACAATAAGCGGGAGAGCGTTAGCCGCATGTGGGCCAGCATGGCCGCCCACGGCTTCTCTGGCTGGACGGCGCGAGTCAGCCAGCCGGGCAGGATTCACGCGGGCTGCAAGATCAGTAAACGTGGCGCCGATGACGGATGATGGTCTTGGTTCAATGCTTGATCGTTGCATGATGCCGCGGCTCGTACCCCTACGCCCGCCAGTTTGAGTTTGTGGTCTCCGGGACTCTCATTGCCTAGCTAGCGTAACTCCCCCGACCGCCCCTCCGCCCGACGCGCGCGCGGCGCCCGTCGCCCCCCGACGGGACTGGCGCGCACTGAGTAAAAGAATTTTACCAAAAGCCTCTCGCACACGCACGGAGGTCTGTGGCAGGTGCCTACCTACCTAATAGGGCGGGGTTTGAGGCACCTCAAACCCCGCCCTACGACCTACCTTTTTAACCCCCGCGCGGGCCGCAGAGACGCCGGGTTGTTGCACGAGTATATGGGACACGTCACCGATGTCTCAAATATGAGGGGTTTTAGCTCCTACCAGCTCCTGACGCTATCCCTGGCAGCTCTAATGACCAGGATCAGTAGTGCTATAATAGAGGGTGCCCATACTAGCGCAGGAGCTGCCACACTCGCCCGGACCGTCCCTTTCTGGGTCCGGTTCCGCAGCCCGCGAGAGCCGACAGCGGGGCCGTGCCGCGGGTGCCTACTGCCGAGTGCCACAAACACTGCGCCGTCCCGCCATCACCTACAGGCTGTCTTGTGTGATGGTTGGGATGTCCAAACGCCACCATCTTGGCTCTTGCGACCTCAAACCCGCGAGCTGTATGGGTGGTCCTGACGTCGACAGACGCCCGATGACCACGGTGAAGCTGAGCCTGAACGAGTCGACAAGTCTCGTCTGAGCCCGTGGCGGTCGCCGGCTGAGTCTGTGCACGGGCCGGTACCTCAGGCGTCACCTCCGCAGCCTCAGGTCTCACACTCCATCACCGCCGCCGGGACGCCGTCGGTGGCACGCTCGGCGGCGTACTTTCTGCAGCTCCATCTCGAGCGCGGCGTCGAGTCTACTCACTCCTGTTGGATCTGTGCACTCCCTGGGTCCCAGGGAGTGCACAGATCCAGCAAGCGGTGCGTCCCGGCAGCGCGCGCAGGCTGCGGAGCTGCAACAAACTCGAGACACGCTTTTTTGGGACATTTTCGACGCTTTTGTCCCATATACTCGTGCAACAACCCGACCCCCCTGTCCCGCGCTGTGAGCCGCAGAGACCCCCCCTGTCCCGCACTGAGCCCTGACACCAAGGGGCCGCGCCCAGGGGTCTCCCCGTCTGTCAGACCTTTGGCATTCCCCCTCTTCTATTGTTGGTCGTGACGACCATTTAATTGGTTATCTACAAATTCGCCAAAGCCTCGCGCCATACTCGTCCCTCCTGCCACCCCTCCACGCCCCCCCTCTGCACAACCCGCGCTCTGCCCATCAGAGAGCAGAGCAGGTCGCGCGATCGCCGCCTGTCCGCCCAACAAAGGCAAACAGCCAGCTGCCGGAGCAAACTCATGCCGATCGGAGCTCAGGCAAGGCGCCCCGGGGTCCGTGCGCGCCCCGTTCAAACGAGCTTCGCCATCCACGGCGTTCCCCCACCGGCAGGGGCGTTCATCCCGATATAGGAGTTGCGCATTGTGGAGTCAATCTCAGCAAACCCATATGCGTTCTGACCCACAACCATGTAGAAGCCAGAGCAGATGTTGACGCGCCACGACGTGCCAAAGGCGCCAAGCCACTGATAGCTGCATCCCCCGATGTCGGGGTACAAGTGGCCAGTAGGGCTGTCGGCCAAGGCCTTTGCCGCACCAAGTCCGGTCCACACGTGCTCGTTTGCGAAGTAACCGATGAATCCGGACGTGAACAAGGGGAATTCTCATCGGTAGGCGTGACGGCCTGCATGGAGGTCATAATGGCAGCCATGCCAATGATACGCTTGCCCTTGTACATGCCCTTGGTCCCTACTGGCTGCGCAGATAGCACTGGCTCGTTATAGCGAGGCGACCGAGCGCGAGAGGTTGGTGCAGAGCGTGCAATGCAGCTGAACCACTCTCGCACTACAATGCTAGCGCGGGAGGCGAGTTCACGGGAAGAGAGGAGCTGGTGGCGATGAAGGTGGTGGAGCTCATCACCGACCGCTCGTGCTTGCGTTGCGTATGATAGCAACCCCTCGTCCGACGGTAGCGTCTCGCGTCACCGCCGCATCCCGCATCGTTGTCCGCCTACACCGCTCCGGCCGCAGCCTTGGCAAGTGCCTTCACACGCGCTGGGTCAGGTGCAGCAGCAGCCAGTGCGCAACAGCAGCAACCAGTGCAGCAGCAGCAGCCAGTGCAGCAGCGAGTGATCGCGCTTGCACAAGCGGTGGGCGGTCGTCATGTGCGATGGGTCACTTTGGCTAAACCTAAAGCGTCAACCCGGCTGCACGAAAGCACAGTGCGGCGCGGTGCAATCAGTGGAGGCAAAATCGGCTCAAAAACAACGCCCTACTGGCTGCGCAGATAGCACTGGCTCGTTATAGCGAGGCGACCGAGCGCGAGAGGTTGGTGCAGAGCGTGCAATGCAGCTGAACCACTCTCGCACTACAATGCTAGCGCGGGAGGCGAGTTCACGGGAAGAGAGGAGCTGGTGGCGATGAAGGTGGTGGAGCTCAAGGAGGAGCTGGGCGAGCGTGCCGAGGCCCTCTCAGGCAACAAAGGTGCGGCTGCGCCGCCGGCTGCACGCCGCAATAGTGAGCGAGTATTTGGAGAGCGCCGCGGGCGCCGACGGAGCCAGTAGAATGTCCAAAATTTTCGCCGCGCGCCTGCGGCGCGCGACTTTTACCATTTTGCCCCGGGCGGGCCCACTTTTGTCGTTTTGCCCCAAATCAACTGCTAGCAGTGCTTTTAGCGTTTTGACCCAAACCGGCCGAACTTTTAGGATACCCTCAGACTGAGCTCAGTGAGGATGAGGATGAGAGAGAGGGAGACGTTCCAGAGGATCGTCGGTGCGCGTCTCGAGACCATGTCGCGCCACCCCCCACCCAAAAGCCAAAAATACTCGCTTGATAACATTTCAAAGTAGACAAAAAAGCCGGTCCCATGCGGCGCCGGTCCCTCGTGCGGTCCCTGGCGCCCGCTGGATTCCCTGGCTCGAGAGCGCGCGCCCCCGGCGCCGCGCTGTGAGACCGATGCGCGCACGCGGCACGCGCGATCTCGGACGACAGCGCACCCCGCCGCAACCCGCATACAACGCCTCACGCCCACAACGCAGGAAGACTCTGCGCCATCAAGTGCGCCAACGTATCGTCGGGGGGTGGGCGGGCGGGAGGAGAGAGGGGCGTCGATGATCCGCTGCCCCTCCATCGCCTCGTATCCACTGTGCGGACACGGCCCGGCCACCCCCCGCCCTCCAGGGTGGAGGGCTCGGGGAGGGGGGTGAGGGGAGGAGAGAGGGGCGTCGTGATCCGCTGCCCCTCCATCGCCTCAGCGCTGACCCTCACGCTCGCCCGCCGCCGCCGCCTCCCCTGCCGAGCCCGCGCGCCTGGCCGCGCAAAGCAGAGGACGAGATGAGCAGAGATTGGCCGAGATCGGCCGAGATTGGCCTCGGCGGCGCGCCTTGCGCGTCATCAGCCGGACGTCGCTCGAGTTCGAGCCTGGCCGCTCGCCCTTTGTCCGCTTGCGCGCGTCGACGTGCAGGGCGGGGGAGCTGATCGAGGCGAGCGGCCTGCGGGAGAGGGGGGGGGCCCGGTTTGGCGGGGGGGGCGGGGGGGGCGGGGGGGGCGGGGGGGGGCTTCAGCGTCGCACGCGAGGGAAAGGGGTGGTGGCGTGGGCGGGGGCGGGCGGCTCTGCTGGCAGTTCGCCCCTGCGGCCCCTGCTGCCTACTGCTACTCTCCCGTGACAAGCACTGCTGGTCGGCCGGCTTGCGGCCGTGCGAGTCCCCGTGGTTGCAGCTGCGAGTCCTCGTGTGCTAGCTAGTGGTGGCCCGCCTCTGCGGCCCGTGCGGCCCCATCACTGCGACGGTGATGACGAGGTGGAAGGGCCGGTTCCCGCACTGGCTCGAGGTGTGCTGCAGGTGGAGCGACGAGAAGGTCGCCTCGAGCTCCGAGCCTGTCCGCATTGCTCAGTGTTCATGCTTGGTATGGAGTGGTGATTGGAAGGCCGCGTCGAGAGGTCGGGGCCTGTCCGCCGCACGAGCCGCTGGGTGCACTGGCCCGAGAGGCCTTCATGCTGCAGCTCCTATTCCAGCACCCCTCTCCTCCTCGCCACCGCCAGACTAGCCGCCGGCCCGAGAGCACGCCTCCCGCGCCTCGTGCCCGGCCGCAGGCGAAAGCGTGCCGCACGTCACCTGAGGAGGGGGGGGGGGGGGGGAGCTGGTCGAGGACCCGCCTGCTGGACGCCCCGCCCGGGCCGCCCCCCTCCCCCCTCCCCTCCCCTCCCGCGCCCCTCCCTTGCGGCGCGCACCATTGCGACCAGCGGAGCGCTGCCCACCGACGACTCCTCGGCCCCCGTGGTGACGGTGACGGTGAGGCGAGGCAGCGTCCACTTTTTGTGCCACATCCACTGCGTCCGCTCCCGCCAGTACAGCAGCGGCGTCTCGAACGCCGCCTGCACGCCCTGCAGCGACGGCGGCTGCCGGGTCTCGGCCACCGCGGTGCTGCCTGCCGGCGGAGCCGCCTCCGGCGCGGGCTCGGGGGGGCAGGCGCGGGCGGGGCTGGCGCAGGGCGTCCAGAGGAAGGGCGCGTCGACACCCATCTCGGCCGAGTCGTCCTCGATCAGCGCCTCCCCCTCGATCGGAGGCCCGGCGTGGCCCCGCACCGCCACGGCCGCGGGCCCGCCAGACACCTCCGCCAGGGTGGTGGGGAAGGGGGCAGGGCGCATGGGCATCGGCGGCGCCATCGCCGGCGGCGGCATCGCCATCATGGCCGGCATCGTCGGCATCGGCGGCGCCATCGCCGGCGGCGGCATCCCCACCATGGCGAACGCAGGGTTGAAGGGCATGGGCGGCTGACCCGGCGGCGGCGCGAAGGGCATCATGCCGGCAAACATGGCGGGGTCCATGGTCATGGGGAGAGGCGCGGCCGACGTGCGCATGTTGAGGAGCACGTTCGCGAGGTCCGATTCGTTATTCGACGGCGCCACCTGGGCGCCCTGCACCTGCCGCCGCAGCTGGTCGTTTTCGGCCTTGAGCGCACGCACAAACGCCCAGAGCATCTCCTCCGTCGCTCGCTGCTGCGGGTACGGCGCGGCGGCGGGGGCGCCGTTGGCGACGGCGCCCCCGTCGCCCCCCTCCGGCGCCCCTCCGCTCGTGGCCCCGGACATGGGGCCCTCCAAAGAGGCGCCTTGTCTCGCACCTCAGACTGGGCGAGCTGGGGTCGAAGTGGTGTCAGGTTGGGTGCTTTGCGGCGTGTTTTTTTTTTGAGGAGCTTCGATGTTAGAGAGTTATGTGTACGCCAACTCAGGGTGTGTGGCAGCCCGCTGGCTGTGTGTCTTGTGAGCTTGTTTGTGTCTGTGTGTCGCTCGTGCGTGCCGTCATCATCTGTCCGGCGTCCACCCATACCGCGTTGGTGTCCAGTCCGAGCCTGGCTGTTCTTCACCTGTCTACCTATGTATGTTGGTAGTGGTGCGATTGTGCGTCAGGCGAAAGGCGAGCGCCGGCGGAAGGTGGCACGCCGAGCGTGTCAGCTAAGGGAGGCGATTGCGCGTCAGGCAAAAGTTGTTGATGGCCGACGACGTCGCCTTCGCTTCGGCTTGCGATGCCGAATCCGCTCCTGTTCGTCGGCAAGGGCGCGGCGCTGACGGCGGCGGCCCGAGCGGCTGACAAGGCGAACGAAGGCGGCGGAGCATTCCAGCGGCTGGGCGAGGGCCGCGGCGCGGCAATCCGGCTCGCGTGGCCGGCGGAGGCGCTGCACACCGTGCCGCACGAGAGGCGGGCGGCGGCGGGCGACGCGGACGACCCGTTCGCGCACGGCCGTCCGATCACCAAGAGGGCGAGGCGCGCGGCGGGCGAGCTGCGCGCCGTGCAGCACCAGGAACGTGCGGAGGCGCCCAGAGAGGCGGAGCTGGCGGCGGCAGAGGAGCGGACGGCGGAGCAGGCGGCGCTGCTGGCGCCGCTCGCGGCGACGGACACCACGGCGCGCCTGGCGAAGCGGAGGCGGAGCGCCCTCGTGGCGGCGGTGCTGCATCAACCCATTGCGGAGCCGCCTACCTACCTGTTAGAAACAAACGCAAGGCGGACATGGCATATCGCTCTCGGGCCCACAGACATCCCGCACACCCGCCGCCACCCGCGCGCGCCCCACCCCGGCCGGGAGAAAGGGGAGTGACAGTTTGGGATGGACAGCCCGAGTATGTTGAGTCCTGGCTCAACAACGCAGGGAACAAGAGGGGGTGGTCCGGCTCACAGGTCCGGCTCACGCGCCTCGAGCTTAACATCTACCGCACTGATCACTTCCGCCCCCTCGCTCCCAACCCATCCACCCCGCCCCGGGCCGCGCCGCGCGATCTCGGGCGATCTCGCGCTATCTCGGGCGATCTCGGGGCCGCGCCGCGCTATCTCGGGCGATCTCGGAGCGTCGCTCGCGCGGCGTCACACCTGCTCAAAAAGGAAGGAGGTTGGAGGCAGGAGGTCACGCTAGAGCTGTCAAACGTTAAGAGCTGAACAGTGTTGCTAGTGTTAACAGTAACAACAGAACAACAGTTGGGCTCCCCAACAACATTAGCTAATGTTAGGCCAGCTGAACAACAACAAGGAAGGCCTACCAGTGACCCACGACGATCTCCAGCGTCCAGTGCAGGTAATACCTGAAAATACCTGGAAATCCCCGGGTATTTTCGGGTTTTACCCGGGTTTTTTGGCATTTTCCGCTTGCTGACCACTGAACAACAGTAACAACAGTAACAAACAGTAACAGCTTGGGCTGGGGAGAACACTTGAACAACGTTGAGGATTTCAGCCAACAATAATGCAACTGTTAGGCCCAAAGTTAACGTTTGACAGCTCTAGGTCACGCCCCATCCAGAGCGCCGTCGTCG